TCAACCGAGGTGGAAACAGCATCATGGAGCTGATTGCCAAGGAAGGGTACAACCCTATGGAATATATTCGCTTCTACAACCTCCGTAACTACGACCGCATCAACCTCAGTGGTCCGTTGGCGGACGCTGAGCAGAGAAGTGGTGTTAATTACGAAGAGGCGCGGAAAGAGCAGGACGTGAAAACTGGTGGACAAGGTGGCTATGGCCCGGGTGCTCCTCGGAGTGCGTTTGACCCGTCAGCTCCGTTCCAGCAATATCAGAATGCTGCCCAACAAGTTTCTGGCAAGTCATCGTCTGGTCAGTGGGATAGCGTAAGCTCATGCTATATGCTGAATGGAGAGGATCTTCGCAAGGTGCCGTGGGATGGTCCTGCTGAAGCTGAAATTGATGCGTTTGTTACTGAGGAGCTATATGTTCACTCCAAGGTATGTCCCCTTTCCCCTTCTTTCCTTGGACCAGACTAATAGGAGTAGGTTATGATTGCCGATGACAGAATTGCCATTTGCGGATCTGCAAACATTAACGACCGGTCCCAGTTGGGTGATCACGACTCAGAGATTGCAGTGATCATCGAAGACTACACACCAATCTCATCCACGATGAACGGCAAACCCTGGACTGCGAGCCGCTTCGCAGCATCTCTGCGCCGACAGCTATTCCGCAAGCACCTTGGCCTCCTCCCACCCCAAGACCCCCAACGTCCAGACGCCAACTACGAGCCAGTCGGTGTCCCCAACGACGCCGACTTGGACTCACCCGAAAGCCAACTCGTCGCCGATCCATTGGCCGATCCTCTCCACAGCGTCTGGAACACCCGCGCACGTACCAACACCGAAGCCTTCCGAAAGGTCTTCCATTCCGTTCCCGACGATTCGGTTCGCGACTGGGCTACTTACAAGGAGTTCTACGGGTACTACTTCCACAAGGCGGATAAGCAGGCCTATGGAGAAGCAAAGGATGCCGCGCCAGCTAGGTACAGGTATGGACATGTGGTGCGGGACAACTTCCCTCCTGGTCCTGAGGGCGTGAAGCAGGTTAAGGAGCTACTAAGCCAGGTGAAGGGAACATTGGTTGAGATGCCGTTGATGTTTTTGATTCAGGAGGATGTTGCGAAGGAGGGATTGACGCTTAACGAGGTGACGGAGCCGATCTATACTTGATTTTGCATAACTTGATTTTGATGTATATGTATATTTGACATTTTGATAATTTACGTCGAGTATTTGGACATTGTTTTTACTTTGTTTTGTTTTTTGTTTTTTGTTTTTTTTTTTTCCCCCGGAACTTCCGCATGGGGTAAGATATTGTTCTCGAGAACAATACCAAGCGGCTGACAGCAGGCGATTGGCGTGCCGATCTTTTCAATCACAGACTATAGGTTAATTGTTCTAGATGCAGAAATATCTGCAGAAACAAAAGGATAGTAGATGGGTTGTATCGTACTTACGCGCCATATAGTCCAAAGTTGGAATGTTCCAGTATTTAGGCCACAGTTAACGCTATTATTCTCGGCTTTTAACAGCTTCTGAAGAAAACCTTTTGTCAAGCACCGACGATCCAAGGTCTAGGGTACTCAAGCAAAGTGACCCACTTGCATGCCAAGAACAATATCAACGCATTCATACCTGCATATTCATATTGTTGTATACTAACCGAGTATGGTCACTCCAGATTGTCTCTGCATGCTACAAACGAAATGTTCTTTCTATAAGGTTAATCTGCAGATATTCAATCGAGGACCTCTTACTATTGTCCTCCATTCGATTCTTCCTCTAGAATGAGAAAATACCATTTCGACCATTCCTCTACATGCTCGACTCGATATAAAACCCCCTCGACTCCCTCCAACTCAACTTCCTTCTCTCTCCATCCACGCACTCAATCCTCTACTACAAAATACTCCACTACTCTACTACATCTCAAGCTCCACGCTTAACCAATCCACTCCACTATCAGAATGTCTCCCATGACCATTGCTAAGAACCCTGCCGTTGTTAAGGGTGAGTCTCCCCTCCTCCCCACACTCGCTTTCCCTATGGACAAGACAAGATGTTAATAATACGTATAGCTTCCCCCGGTGGTGGCTGCGTTATCATGTAAACGCGCCCTACCAAGCTGGACCTACGTGGCTCGATGAATCCTACGACCTGACAAGAATCATACGCCGGATACGGAGATCTCGCACCATGGCCCGCATTTTCCTTTTTGATGATGAGACGCTTTATATACACGACTCCCGGGCTGATTCGGCTCCGTTTTACGTTTCTACGCTCCCGCTAATAACCCATGATACTCTGACCCAGTTACCTGGTCAGCTCGACAACCACAATCATGGATACAATATTGGATAGAACGGAGTGGCGTTGAGTTGAGTTGACCGTGGTGCGAACCACGTCCGGGAACAACTACAGAAAAAGAAAAAAAAAAAAAAAAAGACTGCTGGGCAGTTATCCTTTTTTGTACTCTAGGGAGTCTCGGCTCTGGCGCGTGTGGTTGTTGGATTGGGGGTTTATCTTGCTGTTATTTATATCTGTTCAAATAACATCCCGTTTACCTCTCCTTCCTGTTCTCGTGAATATATCCTGCTAGGTAGCAGGATGTACTCTGTAGGAAGCGACCTAGTATAATATCCGTTCCAGCCATGTAAGAATAACCAGTACCATTAACCAAACAAACACGGTATCTCAGTAAACTCATATGTACAAGATTCCACTATTTACGACGCAGTCTCCTTCCGAATAGCATCAACCCTCGCAATATCATCCGCGCTCGGCTCCTGCAATTCCTTATCAGAAAGCACAAACGCATCACCCACCGCATCCTCAACTTGCTCCAGCGTATGTGACACAACTCCCACGGAACGAGCCATCCCGACTTCAACCATATCCTCTCCCACAGCAGCCTGGATGCGTCCCTCGCCGCCTTGGTCGGTCAAATCGGCCTCGAAGGCGTGGCAGAGAGATTTGAGAGGTTCGCGGACGCGATTGCGGAAGTAGATATATGTCTTTTCGAGTTGGAGACGTTCGCGGAGTTTCTGGGAGGAGACGAGGATGTAGTAGAGGCTTAAGGCGGCGTGGATGGAGGGTGTGAGGGTTTGGGAAAATTTGATCCATGACGCGACGATTTCGGAAGTGACGTCGAGGAAAAGGCGGGTGGAGTTGAAGAGGAGGGGGAAGAGGACAGAGAAGTAGTGTGAGTTTTGGAAGATGCTGGATTCGGGAGTCTTTTCTCCGGTGGCCAGGATCTCGTCTTTGAGCCATCCGATAGCGCTTTCTTTGGCGGTTTGGAGGGTATCATCTTCCAAGACTTTGCGGATCAATTTAAAACGGGTTACTTCGGACGGATGGCTATGGATGATGGTGGATGGTATCCGCCGTAATGTGCTATAGTTCTGGCGCGCTGTACAGGCCGTGAGTTCCAGAACAAAGTTGCTGAACTCCGCTTCGCTAGACGGCTCGCCAATAGCATTCTCCATGGAGAACACCGTCAATGTCAGTAGGGAGTCCAGAAGTGGCTGAGGTTGCCCGAAAGCCACTTCATCTGGAGTCCTGAAACCTCCCACGAAGTTCGAGAACAATTGGGCCAAATCAGGGAAGACCACAATTGGTGTGACCTGTCCTGACGAATATAGCTCTGCCACCGCAGCCCGTGCAGCCAACAGCAACAAGGAACCGTGTCTCTCGAGCGGGATATCTTCGGGGTTCTTAGGTGGTTCTTCAAAGTCTAGCGGCGGAGGATGGCTGTCGGACGGCTGCGAAACAATCGAAAGGAGTTGCTTGTCATCTAAACCAAAGTCTCGAGACAGAGCCTGTAAAGTGAGCAGGGGATTTCAAAAGGGACAAACGGTAAGCGTGGAACCTACAGTAATCTTCGCCATGATCAGATCTCTTTCTTTGAGATGCTTGGTTGAAGCGTAAACGTCTGTTTGCGACTCTCTCCCCGGTATATGCAAGTTCGGACGTAGCTTTTCTTGCAACCTAATGGCCCATGACATGCCTGGATCCATAGGACTTGAGAAACTCAAGAGGTATGACTTGAGCACTTCAATGAGACCAAATTGCAAAAACTTCCTGACAAGTATGGGTTCGTTGTTGCTCGAAGGTGCAGACGATTGTACTTCAGCTTCGGGATCGGGTGCAGAGGCCTCTGAAACTCGCAAAATGCTGGATTCGCTAGCTGCTCTCGGCGGGGGCGCGGGCCTCTTTGAGGGAGCGACATCTCTAAAGAACTCCAGAAGCGCGATTGTGGTCTCGTTCGTTGGCATCAGGGTATATGCTTCCAGCGCTGCCTGAAGGGACGTAGCGATGAACCGGCTCGGGGACTTGGTCTGGATGCGACGATGGAGTACCGATAGCATGGCCATAAGACAGTTGAACTTCAAGATATGCCGTGGAAAACCTTCAGCTGTCTCCTGTGTTTCCTGTGCGCTGCTTCCATCCCCAGTATCCTCATTGTCTTCCTCTTCGTCCTCATCATCAGGCTGTAGTTTCATCAAGGCATCTGAAACGCGCAGGATGACTTCTCTCGGATTTCCCAGGCGAGCGATATCTTGCAGACATTCGGAGGATTGTGGCAGCATGGGCAGGAGCAGCTGCACCAAATCCCAGCCGATATTCGTGGTCAAAGTCTCATCTTGGAGAAGTTTATGGAGGGTGGGTAGGCGAGCGGGGGTCAGTTGGTACTCGAGAATGGTGAGATAGGTGAGATAGTCGGTGGCCGGTGGCAGGGCCGCGATAAGAGGGTCTTCATTGTCGGTCATGGCGATGATATAATCCCTCTAGGATATGAGAATTCGATTGGAAAGAAAACTGGGGGAGATGCAGGTCAGGGGAGAGGGACAAGAGGTAGAGAGCCTCACAGCCTCGATGCGGGACGGGCCACGCGTGCACATGACATGACATCATCGATCGCCAGATACTCCATAAAAGAACGAGAATGCCCATTATTGTACCTACAGTGTACGGAGTAGATATGCTAATGTTCTATACCCCTGGGTATACATATAGAAATCAGAAGCCAGTATATTCCCCCATTGATTGATTAACCTCAGCCCAAAAACCATACTTGTCAGCTTCGACTATGGTAGAAATGAGATCTCTCCACTCTAGACCCAAAGCCTGCCACCGTAAGCCAAAGTATTCTCTTGCCATTATACTGTAGCCAGCTGCACCCCAGTCAATGACTCCAGTTATGACATTCTCGTCCACCATAATGTTGCTTTGGTGCAGATCACCATGCGTGAACACCTTTCTTTCACTCTCGCCAGATTTCCCCAAGGCAAGAATTTTCTCTACCAGAGGTTCATCCTTCTTGGTGAGTTTCCCGTTGGGTCTGGAGTTACAGAGAGCCTGCACCACCCCTTCCTTGGTTGAACTCCTTTCTTGTCAAAAAGGGTCCATACTGACGGGGCTCCGGATCCCATGAATGTTTGAAGAAGACATCTTTGCATGGACCACCGTCAATAGATCCGAAACATGGCCCTTCAATTTTGTGCCACTCCTGTATGAAGCCTTGGAGTTACTGGACTATAGATCTCTTGGCATCTCTTGGTAAATCTTCCCAGCATTTTTCAAGGGGAATCCCTGGAACTTTTTCCATCAAAATGAATCCAATATCTTCAATCATGTAGGCATTGAAGATTTGAGGAAGAGGGACCGATATTCTTTTTCTGATAAGGCAGAGAGCTTCCGCTTTTCCCATGTGAGCCGTATACCCGACTTTCAATATGGTTGACGGGCTAATCTCTGGGATTTTGCAGCCGCCCATGTTGTAAGGACATAAGTCTCGCATTCTGGATCTCATCTCGCGAGACAATTGGGGGAGGCTGGTGTCCCATCGAGGGACTAAATCGTACGCTCACAGTAAACAGGAGAATGTAGGAGAGTTTGTCAACAATATCCCATTTTGAAGGCTTTCAGAGGGTTAGTACGTTAGGTTTTGATCGAAGAAAAACACACACACTGGGCTACTGGAGCTGATTTTCTCATTCATTTTGGCCGCGCAGACGTTGTTGCAAAGGACTATTCCTGCAATCGAACGAGATGGTGTCACAATAAGTTAGAGCAATAGCAGCACATCAATCCTTCAAGGTTCATCAGTTGGCTGTGCTTCTTTCTCGCGCTTAGTTATGTACATGCATAAGATTAGGAAAGAGAGTTGCATAAATCTGCCATGTGTACAGCTGCTCCTCTGCTGGTGAGGGATAAGCATCAGAATGGAAAGGGCCTTCAATTTGTCTAGGAATTCCAGTACATATGTTGATTGAATAGTCAATTGATGATATGGAGATTGATACCGGAGTCACATGACCAGAACGAGTATCACAACCACATCATAGCCAGTCTCAGCCTTATGTATGGATATATCCTTATCCAGACCATGGATCAACCATAAAGATACGTACATGTTGTGGTGTCTGCCGGGAGCCCTTCCGCAGTACGGGAAAAACATGATTCAAGACTCGACCACGGTCAGCCTTGTTGATACATACTCCATTCAGCGGCCGTTGGCATATCGATATCAATCAGTAGTATGAATATCAATCTCGGATTCAAAATGACAGTACCATGATCGCAATACCCTCTGGATAGAACTTGTTTTTCTGCAAGTATCGGTTAAGTGCCGATGCGATGGTGCCTTGTCTGGCCAGCCTCCGTCCGCGCAGTGCCGAAGTTCCTTTTTTTCATGCTTTCCCCTTTTCCCCTTCAATTTTCTCTCTTTTCCTACTAGCCCTGCATTCTGAGCGCATTCTGTACAGCTTTTTTGCTTTAATTTCCTAGTTCCTTCGCATTTTCTCCAATTCAGCGATCTTCATTTTTCCTTTGTCCTCTTTTTAATGCGATCTCGCTCCCTTGCTGTTGTCGTTCACCATCCGATAAGCCTGCGCAAGTCTTCTGGTTGAGAAATACAGGGGAAACCAGAAGTCAGCTTTGACGACGGTTGATTTCAGTTAACGAGTCCCCGGAGCATCTGCCGTAAACCACCAGTTGTCATACTCGTTCCAGCGCGACTTCCCAGCGACCCTCGTATTGTCCGGCTCAGGGGAAACCGCGACCTTGACAGCCGGAAACGAAGACAGAAAGAGAAGGAAGGCCAAAAAACGAGGTCAAAAAGGAAAGAGAAGGAAGGAAAGGACCGTAAATATCGAGGGGAAAATGGCCACCACCGAAATGCAGTCCATCTATACCCCCTCGACCTCTACGCATATCTCCTCCCACGCCCCGGCTGCCGTCGACGAACTGATCAATAAATACTCCTCGACCATGTCGACTACTATTAACACACCTTCCATATCGCAGCCCCATCGATGCATGTTGGGCCGTGCCGTCGATCGCATCCACCTGGAATATTACCGGTACGAGGTGACTTTCGGGATCTACGTCCTGACCCCCGGCGAGAAACTGGCCGCCAACACCTTTGTCATGGTGTTCATGACTCTTCTTCTCTGGGCATTACTCCTCTACTTCCCTGCATTGCTCTACAACAAGCTCAGTCGTCTCGTGTGGTTGTTGACAGGCCACAGCGGCGAGGAGATGGGGGCCGTTCTGGGCATTCTCGATACACGTACTGGTGCCACATCGCCGGCGTTTTCGAGCCCGACATCTTAACCACTAGCTGTCGGGCTGCATCTGATAATTTTTTGTACGCGAACTATGAGCTCAGACCTGGCGCGCAAGGCCAATTCTATCGTCTCTGAGATGACAAAACTAACACATTGTCAGACTGTCATTCGATGCTCGATACGGATTTTATACGGCGTTGGATTTCGATTTTGGTGCTTCCATGACGCTTACTAGCGACGCCATGTCGCTCACAAATATAATGAACTGAACGAGAAAGGACTTTATTTTCATTTTAATTGCAGCATGGGCATGCATACGGGACTCATGTTGTGACCTTTTTTTTTTTTTTTTCTTTTCAAGATATTCAAGATACTTTTGCTTGAGGGGGGGGGGGTTTTTTGGGTACAGACCGGACAGAGATCTTGTGTATCATTTTCTGTCGCCTTTTCTCTCTTGTCTTGTTTCGATTGATGCTTAATGCCCGCATACTACCAGCTGTACAGGGCGACTGTTCGCCGGATGGAACATGTCAAGATCAAGTTGTTAACTGTAATACTTAATGGCATGGCTATCCAGAAGACTCATCCTTTTCGTATTAGTAGCATCCTGTAATCCTTAGGCTCATAAGTACATCGGCTGTGTTGCTCTTTTTGATCTGGTCTGTATGCGAACTAGAGGGACTGCCACACTGGCGGCCGCTAAAACACAGCAAAGTACGGTGTGGAGAGCAGCGGCTAAGACAGCCAGATTGCTGCCCAGTGGATGCCATCGTGGCTATTATCTGCCCTATATTATTGTTTTGCATTCTCCAAAACGCGCAAGAGCCGCGTGCGCAGCGCCAAAAATAAACCGACCATCAGTCAGCAACATTTACAGAGTCCAACCACGTTGTTTTTCTTCGTTGCTGTATGACTTGTTGTTACTTATTCTGACCATCACATTCTCTCTTTCTCTCCTTTGGTTGAGAATCAGATATTTTCGGTTTTTTCCCTCGGTTCAGGCGGTGTTCCTGAACGATCCTTGGTCGGATCCAAATTCTAGGGAGACCGTCACTAGTTTCATCTTCTCTCCTGCGACCGAACGTGGGCCATTATTGCCTGCATCGACTAACAGCAGTACTTTTGCAATCGAGATATACCATTCAATCACTGTCGAAACCATCTTGAAGAAATAACACAGCATCTGGTCCTTCTCCGGTTTACCATCCTCTCCCCATCGACCGACGGAGCACAAACAGACAGCGAAAAAAAAAAAGTTACCCCTGTCGCTTCGGGCAGCCCATCACAATGGCAGGCAACGAATACTACAACACAAATTACTACGGGAATCCTCCCAGATACGATGATTTATCCGCAGACCACGACTCCTTCAGACGACAAGCAGCAACCCCGGCCTCACATGCCTCCCATGTGTCCCCTTTCGAGACCTCCGATAGCGATCTCCGGCACCCCGAGCATAGTCATCAGACGCTGGCTTCAGATCCCAGCGCATACCCGGCAGCTGCACGAACAAATGAACAAGATTACTATTCTGAGAATATCCCGCTGAATGAACATGAACAAGGTCATTATGCGAATGGCCCGCCGCCGGAGTGGATGCGACAACCCACCCATTACCCCCTATCGCCTGAGATGATGGAAGTACCAATCGATCCGGAAGGGAAGAGGAAGAAGAAGAAGGGGTTCTTTAGGAAGACGCTGCCATGGGTGACCTATCTCTTGACAATAATTCAGATTGTGGTGTTTATCGTGGAGTTGGTAAAGAATGGTATGTGCGACTGGAATCAACCCATGAGTTGTACTGAACTAATCGGCGATGTATAGCCCAATTCACAGGATCGCCCATCGAAACCAAACCCTCATTTAACCCGATGATCGGTCCATCGCCGTATGTCCAGATCTACATGGGAGCGCGGTACGCACCATGCATGAAGAACATCGCCAATGTGCAGAATTCCAGCCAGACTATCACTTGGAATTGCCCCAACAGCACAGTCACCAATTCAATGGACTCCAGCAACCAGTGCTCATTGTCTCAGGTGTGCGGTTTTAACGGAGTTCCAAACCCCGTTCCTGGAGGGTCTCTCGACGATAAGCCAGAGCCCGACCAATGGTACCGATTTATTATTCCCATGTTCCTGCACGGAGGATTCGTCCACATCGGGTTCAACATGATTGTGCAATTGACAATGGGAGTGGACATGGAGCGCATCATCGGTTGGTGGCGGTATGGCCTGGTCTACATTGCTAGTGGTATCTTTGGTTTTGTGCTGGGTGGAAACTACGCGGGTCAAGCCAACGTTTCGACCGGTTGCTCTGGCGCTCTCTTCGGTATTTTGGCTTTGTTCATCTTGGATCTGCTGTACAGCTGGAAAGAACGCCCATCACCATTCGTCGAACTGGTCATCATGATCCTGGGTGTGGGTATCTCTTTCGTCCTGGGACTGCTTCCCGGATTGGACAACTTCTCCCACATTGGAGGTTTCATCATGGGTCTTGCTCTTGGACTCTGCGTCATGAGATCCCCCAATGCCCTCCGCGAACGTATCGGTCTGGCCCGCAACCCGTATGTCGCTATGAGCGGTGGTGCGGGAGCTGCTCCAGACGACAACAAGGCCACCACCCCTGGTCCCAGCTTCGTGGACTATTTCAAAGGTCGTCGGGGTTTAAATGACCAGCACTCTTCGATGAATCCGGTCAACTTCTTCAAAGGCCGCAAGCCGCTATGGTGGGCATGGTGGTTGGTGCGAGCTGGTGCTCTGGTTGCGGTGCTAGTTGGGTTCATCTTGTTGATTATCAACTTTTACAAGTACCCTACGTCGAATTGCGACTGGTGCTACCGGCTGAGTTGTCTGGTAAGTATCTTCTATCCATATATATTTAGTCTGGACTGTTACTAACTCGTTTCTTATAGCCGGTCAAAAACTGGTGTAAACAAGACCAGTTTGATTTACAGGAGACTACGAAGAGCACCTAGACGCTTTCTTCTATATTTCATGCCTTTTGCTTTTGCAACCTGTGGATTTGGACAGTTTCTCATGATGAAATCTTTGCACATTTTGATGCTATGAGTCGAGATATGGCATTTTGGCGGCGTTGAATGAGATATCAGTGGTGGATTTTTGAGATATCCCATTATTGTTCTCTATCTATATACTACACACATCTACTCTCCATATTTACTGTCTATCTATTCTTGCCAGAAAGAGTGCTAGTTCTACTTGTATAGAAGGCTTAGTAACCAGTGGCTGTGCTGTGCTATTTCTGTAACACTTACCGTATTTTACAGGTTGCAGCGATGATCGCCAGGCGGTGCACGTAATGACGGTACAGGCCCGCCTGCACAGCCCTATCGACATGCGGTGCTTAACTCCGGCTTCATCTTTGCCAATCCTCTTTGTTCGTTTCGCGGTTGCCTCGTTTTGTAGTTGTTTTTATCCATTTGAGATACCACGCGGCCTCAATAACGGCACCTTTCACGTCTCAACCAGCCCCCATCCGAACATCCCACAATACACCCGAAACGTTCACTTCCGTCCCGTTGCCCAACACGTCTCCGCCGCAAATGCAACTCTCCCCCGTCGCGATGCCCACGATCCACGTTTAATCTATTCCGTAATCCAGCTCGCCATTCGTCTCTTATCATAAGCCATCCGATCATCCCTTTTCCTACTCTTCCACGATGGCGACACTAGCCGGGTCTCCGCCATCGTCCCCTTCGCTGCCCAAACGCCGACCTAAAGCCTGGGCGCTGCGATGTGAACGGTACTGCTGTGCGGCGCTGTCGTCGTTTCCGTTGGCGTTTGTGTATAGTTTGACGACGTGGGCAGTTTATGTCGAGGCTAGTATTGGGTTTAGGCCGTCGTCGAATCGCTGGATTGGTGAGTTTTGTTGATCTCGTGATAAGTGGCAGGGTGATGAGTATGCTAACGCTGTGTTGCTTGTTGTAGACGTGCCGACTTCGCTTCTCGGAATCCTCCTCTACATCTGCCTTAACGCATCGTATTCGGTTGCCGTATTCACAAACCCCGGAACGACCCTGACGAGCAATTCGCGCGGACGATATGAATACAGTGCCTTGCCTGTCACCGAACTCCCCGAGTATACGGCGTACACGGTTAGTTCGACGGGCTCATCGCGATTCTGCAAGAAATGCCAGACCCCGAAGCCGGACCGCGCGCATCACTGCTCCACGTGCAAGCGGTGCGTTTTGAAAATGGACCACCATTGTCCGTGGTTGGCGACTTGTGTTGGGTTGCATAATTACAAGGCGTTTTTGCTGTTTTTGATCTATACGTCGTTGTTTTGTTGGGTGGATTTCGCGGTTGCGGTGGCGTGGACTTGGTCGGAGGTTTTTGGGGATACGCAGAATATGGAGGCTATTTTGCCGGTGAATGTGATTTTGCTGGCGATTCTGGGTGGTGTGATTGGGCTTGTGTTGACGGGGTTCACGGGGTGGCATATTAGTTTGGCGGTTCGGGGTATGACGACTATTGAATGTCTGGAGAAGACGCGGTATGTGTCTCCTCTGCGGAAGGCACTGGATCGTCATCGGTACGAGCATGTACTGGGTGCTAGTCCGAACAACCATAGCCATGAGTCTGGATTTGGTCCTGAGGGTCTTGGTCATCGTCTACAGGACTACGGGCACCAAATCCTTGATGCGCATGCGAATGCAATTCCGGGCGTTACCCGACCTGAGGAGGGAGAGGAACAGACGCCAGACCCGTCGATTTATTCCGGCTCTACTGGGGTCCCGATGGATAACCTCTCGCCTGCGCAGCAAGCACTAACCCGTTCCTACGCCGACCTCGAACGACAGCGCGAAAACGACCGCTACCAGGAATACTTGAACGAAGAGGACAGCCAGAAAGTACCAAGAGCGTTTGACCTAGGCTGGCGGCGAAACCTCCTCCATCTCTTCGGCGACCGACCTCTTTTCTGGGCCGTGCCAGTGTGCAACACCACCGGCGATGGCTGGCACTGGGAACCAAGCCCTAGATTCCTCGAAGCCCGCGACGGAATCCGCCAACAGCGCGAACAAGACCAGGTTGAGCAACAAAAATACCAACGGGATCTGTATCTGCGGAACATGAACAACAGCCAGAGCTGGCTGGGTGGAAGTGGAACAATGCCAGAAGAGCCTGAACGGCCTGCTACGGGGGTGTCGATGAAGACTCTGGCTCCTCTGTCGCCGCGCCCGAGACCGGGGGATAGCGATTATGATGATGACATTGAGGAGGAGGATCATCATCTGCTGAATCGGGATAGCAATAATGTGCTTGGTGGAGGTACACGGTATCCGGGGCGGCCGCCGAAGAGTACGCCGAAGCGGTATCGGCAGAGTAATAGTGCGTCTGATGAATGGCGGGATTGGGAATGATGTTTTTATTTAATTTCATTTTGTATGTTTTGATACCTATTTATGCATAGCATGGAGTATTGTTGGCTGTACTTTTGTCTCACTTCCATCTCACTTCCAAAAACGTCATCCGCAACCGCGACTTGGCCTTATCTACTCCGACACCACCTCGACTCAACCTTCTCCTCTAAACAACTACCACTTTCATACTCAAAATAAGACAAAAAAAAAAAAGGAAAAATGTCCTCCTCAACCCGCCGCCTCCTAAAAGAAACAACGGACCTCCAAAAAAACCCCTCCCCCCATTTCACCGCCGGCCCCATATCCGACACCTCCCTCCACGACTGGCACTTCACCCTAACCGGCCCACCACCCCCATCCCCCTTCAGCACAGGAATCTACCACGGCCGCATAACCTTCCCACCAACCTACCCCCTCCGCCCCCCTAGTTTCCGCTTCCTCACACCCACGGGCCGCTTCGAAGTCAACCGCGAGATCTGCTTGAGTATCTCGGGGCACCATGAGGAGAGTTGGCAGCCGGCGTGGGGGGTAAGGACGGCATTATTGGCGATTCGGAGTTATATGGATGTTGATGCGAAAGGGCAGGTTGGGGGTTTGGAGATGGGGGATGCTGGGAGACAGGAGTTGGCGCGGGAAAGTCGCGGGTGGAGGTGTGGGATTGAGGGGTGTAATGGGGGAAGGAGCAATGAGGAGGTTTTGAGGGAGTGGAGGGAGGAGGTTTGTAGGGAGAGGGGGGTTGTTGATGAAGAAAGTGGTCAGGGTGGTGGTGATGGGGATGCGTCTGGGTCTGGGGAGGGTGAAGAGCAGAAGCAGCAGGAAAAGCAACAGGAGGTTCAGGAAGGTGATGCTGCGCAGTCGACCAGTGCACCGGTAGCAGAACCAGCACCAGAACCTGTGCCGGAGGAACCACGAGAGTCATCTAGAGAATCCCAGCATCAACCGCAACCACAACTGCAGCAGCAGCAGCAGCAGCAGCAGCAGCAACCAATACTCTCTTCCGTGTCTCAACACCAACCTCAGCCCCAACCTCGACCCCAAACCCAACTTCAATTTCAATCCCAACCCGTGCCAACGTCAACAACAACCACGACAGCGACAGCAGCGCAAGACAGCCCCTGGCTAGACCGCGCCATCATCGGTGTCCTCATCGCATTGATCGTCACGATAATGCGGAGGGTGTTCAGAGACGAGAGCGAAGATCTGTGATGATTTATTCCGGGTTACTTGGGATTGTATTGGCGATGGCGTTGGCGGATTTAGATGGCGTTTTCTGTTTCTATGCTACCTCCAGAGAATTAGAGTGATGAAGCATTCAATAATGTCAAATTCTCTACGCCCGACGATAATTCCCAATGAACTGCTCCGCCGTGCCATCTGCCAGAACACACGAAGCCGGAATATGATCCAGTACCAGCCATTCATCCCCGTAAGCATAATCATCATAGTGTCCCAATACACCAGTCCTGCGCAACTCCACAAGCGAAGTAAGAAACACCCCTTCTCTCCGCAACTTTTCCAGCCCTTCAACAACCGACACTCGTACCTGACCCCGGGAAACAAACCGTCCCAACACAGGACTTGCCAACCGCCTCTCACACTCCCCGAGGGCCTTCTCAAGAGAGCCAGAAATAGATATATAGGATGTCGGTTCCCTATTTGTCCAATCCAGGTGCTTCTTCACCAGGTCTCGAGGGAATCGTAGTTCCGGGCGAAGCCAATAGATGTTCTCATCGCGGCAGAGAAAGCCGTTCTCTCGTGAATACCGACTCTGGGAGAGGTCGTCGTAAATGCGGTAGAATGGTCCGTTGTGTAATAGCCCTTCGGGTGGTGACTGGGCTAGACGTTTATGTGGACATTGTTGACGCGGGTGAGCTTGTGATGTACACAGGGTACAAGCATCAAGCTGGACAGTGGATGGAAGGGAGGCCATGAGGTGAGATATAAGTGATGTTTTAAGGGAGCTGTGGCTTCAAGGTTCACTAGTCTGAAATATTCCTCATTAAAGAGTTGAAACTGGACTCCAGACAGGCGAAAACAGAAAGATCACAACGCAATACTTGCTTCGCAGTGTAGGGAGAGTGAGAGAAATGAGCCTTTTAAGTATTGAACCTGGAATAGTAGAGAGATTGAACACGTACATGACCCCTCTTTCTCTGCCAGGTAAGTAATCTCACTGCATAAACAACAGCAACTACTCCCCGATTGTTGTCACTACCATTTGCCATAGGGCCAATGCTTGCTTTTCTGCCAATTTTTCATTCTGCCTTGATTGGGTGGACGTGCTCTAGGATGGTTGGACATTAGTATCAAAGGACTACTACGTACGAAGTAGTTTTGCTGTATTCATGGCACAATGAAGATAGTATTTCAACGAATATAATACAAACCCCTAACTCTCCGTCACCATCCACCACCACTCCCCAACAACCCACCCAGGCTGCTCATGCCTCTCACCCCGATATACACCACCACCACCACCACCACCACCCCTACCCGGCCGCGCCACAATACCAACCCCCTCCAACCACTCCAGCATGACCTGCACCTCCCACGCCCCGACAGTCGGCCTCATCATACTCGCCACACCCGCCGCGCTAATCCCCGGCCTCGTCGCAACACAACCAACCACAGCACCCGCAACGAGATCCCAGAGTAACTTGAAGAAGTTACCGTGGATGTCGAGCCAGACGGGTATTTTGGGGATTTTGTCAGAGGGGGATATGGGGAGGGTTGGTGGGAATGTCGAGGAGAGTTGGGATTCTATGGGGTTTCCGAAGGGATAGTTTTCTTTGACGGGGGTGATTTGTATACTGAAGCGCATTTTTTGCTTGTCGATTAAGCGGGTTAGGTAGCCGCCGTCTGTGAGGCCGAATTTCTCGCGTGGTGGGTTGCGCGGTTTGAGGATGATTTTGCGGTGCGCGGCGAGGTTGATCAGGGCTAGTATATCGCCGTCGTCGGCGGTATAGTCTACCTCCAAGCTCCCCTGTTCACGCAGCGCCGGATCAAGAACAGTCGACTTGAACTCCGCAGCCCTCCGCAACTGACTACTTTCAATAGCCCGCCGTCGCAACGTCGTAACAAACACCTCTGTGATGTCGTAGTTCCGGCCTGGCGTGACGCGTCCGCCGTTACCCATCATGATCACTCGCTCAGTCATGAGTGCCTGGATGGCGTTCTGGATGAGCGGTTCGCCGAACCGTTCGAGGGACTTGCGAGCTTGAGTAGCGTTGTAGGATTCCTGCGGAGTGACGATGTTGGCGCGGATCCATGTTTTGGCGACTTCGAGACGGTCGAGGTTTGCTTTGCGCTGGCTCGGGGTTGTGGGGTATTTGTGTTTGTGTTTAGGGCGCAGAGGTTCGGCGAAGGGGACTCCGGCGATGAGGGTACGTTTGCGGTTCAGGGTTACCGAGTTGGTGCCGTGGTAGACTTCATCGAGGGACGGGGATGGTTCCTCGCGGAGTTCGAAGACGCCGTCGAATTGGGCCTTGGTTGCGGGGAGGTTAGGCAGTTTCTCTGTTGATGGGATATCCAGCTGTGCCTGTGCCCAGTCTACTACCCCCACCCAGTCATACCCGTCCAAGTTCTCGTAGTCGATTTGCGGGACTTTATCGTTGGCGTACGCCTCGATGAAGCGCTCCTGGAAGTCGCTCTGCATTTTGGCGACTTGCAATCTGTTTCTGCTGAGAATAGACTTTCCGCGCTCGTGTATGAACTGTCCCTCGTGTTTCGGGAAACATTTTGCTACGAGCGGCCAGTCGACGTTCTTCGCTTCCAGACCACCTGCCAGCACCCGGACGGCTACGATCGACGCGATCATCCTCTGTACGAAGTCTTGGGGAAGTGTGTGCACTATACGGTTGCGGCGGATGGGCTGCTTGGGAGACGCCTTGTGGGAGCCCGGTGTCGATAGGTCGTTCAGTTTCTCCAGACGACGCTCCGGCGGGGCTCGAGTCGCCTGTCTTGTAGGCTGTCTTGTAGGCGGTTTCGTAGGCGGTTTTGTAACCTGTCTCGTTGCTTGTCTTGTAGTCATGGGCTCGCTCTCGCGTGGAACCGTCCGTTCTGCTCGTCGGTCGGCATCGAATCGGATGTTGCGCCTGATCGGTTTATTATCGAAGGAGCCCGGGACGGTTTGGTTGATGTACTCAAGACGATCACGCTTCTCATTGAAGAGGTCCTCGTTCTCGAGCTCCCATCTGAGAAGGTCGTCGTTTTCTTTGAAGAATTGGTCGGTCGGGTCTGTGGTTTCTGCCGTCTCCATGACATGCGGTTCTCTTTGGGTAAGTAGTGCATCGAGTGTGTCCGGTGGGTCATACATCCGTCTCCCGCGACGAGGTGCAGCAGCTGCGTGTGTCCCGAATGTCCCCGTGGCTGCATTGAACACCTGTTTTGGATTCATGAACATAGTATAATGAATATGCGGGAGAGGTGGCTTCTTTCGCAGCGCCGGCCGGCGAGCTGCAATGCCAGAATCAGTCCCGAATGTTCCACTGGCTGCGTGGAATGTCTGCGTGGCGTTCATGAATATAGCATAAGGCGGCAAGCACGAGACAGCAGTCCGAAGTCTCTTGATTTCACCGGCTTTCCTCAAAATACCTTCACCGATGACCATGCTGCCGGGTCTAGCGATCGAAGTCATGTTGTTTGGACCATGTCCGGGACGGCGAATTGTCATCAACCGGCCGGCCCTAGGCTCGTTGGTTTCAACAAATTCGTTCTCGAACATTTCCCAGAACTGTCTTTGGATCTTTCTTTCCCTCGCCAAGACGTAACTTGGCTTTTGCTGCAGTTGTACCGTTAAACCAGTCTCAACCGGGATCTGGGTGATTGGTCTATGTTCGCGTTTGATCAACCCATTGCTACCCTTGATTATATCCGGGTGAATCTCGCTATTTGGGGGGAAGTAAAACCGCGTTCCTGCTGAAAGCATTTTCTGCTGCATGTCCCTGACCGTGCGGTGACCTGGCGGGAGTTCAGGCTTTGTGATGATACTCTTCGTGATCATCACGCCCTTATCATCACGGCCACTGAAGGTTAGTTGGCGAAGCTTGCCCGCATCAACCAAATGCTTGACTGAGGTCCGGAGAGTGCGCATATCGGGCTTTTCTCTGTACTTTGTCTTCATCCATGCGGTTGCAAATGGATACCACAGTTCGCTGCCCATTGGATAGGCCCCTCCAGCCTTGTCGACGATTTCTGTGAGGATTTTCTTTCGCAGGACTGCCACTGAGCCGCCTGTATCCGTGCGGCCTTTTTTGTTTCGCTTTTTGCGAGCGGGCTCTGCAGTGGTATCAGCAGCATCATGTGGTTGATCAACAATCGAAGGCTCATCATGGTCAGCGACCATAGCGCCTTCTAGTTGTGCTTCATTTGCCAGAGCCTGGCGCTCTTCAGGGCCTTTCTCGCCACCAGACGGTGGTTCTAATTGACTTGAGGGTTGAGGCGTTTCTGGTATCGGAGCAGCAGATACGGTTCCATTTTGTGAAACAGGTTCGTTGTCATGTCGTGGTCTCTTTGGCTGTCTTCTACTGGTCTCGTTTTCAGCGGATCGGCTCGGTTCTTGCACTTCCATGGCACCTCGTTCAGGTTCGGCAGAGGATGGTAAGCGTTTGCGTTTGGTTGGATGTTCAGCTGTATCGATATCATGATTGTTAGGGGCAGGTTGGTTCTCCGGCGTAGAAACCGGGGCATCTTGCATGCCCGTATCTTCCACGTGGTTCTTGCGTCTTTGCTTTGGTGGCCGTCCTCTCCGTGTTGCAGTTACAGGGGATGGCTCTCCATCCACAGGCTGGCCTTCCTGGAAGGTTCTCTTGACTCCTCTCGAAGCAGCAGTAGGAGTGGCAGAGTCCTCAATTGCAGGTTCATTGATAACAGGAGTAGCAATAGGGGTCTCTGTAGAAGGAGTCTCGGGGACTGCATTCTCCCCGTTTTCTTCCACGGCCACGGCCACAGCCTCAGCCTCAGCCTCTTCCACAAACCAGGGAAACGACATCAGCTTTGACGACTTAAAAACGACAAGTTGACTAGTTCTTGGGCGTCCTCGAGCTTTACCAACCGGCCTCCGTCGACCGCGTGGTGTGGCATACACCCCAGGGTTTGGGCGCTCCATGAGGAGAATGTTATACTCGGTCCACGTCTCGTCCATACCCAAAGCCTCGAGCTTTTCTTTCTCGGACATGCCCTTGAAACGGTCTGTTTTGGTTCTTGGTCTCTTTGGACGTTTGGGCTGGACGACCTCCACCTCTGCATTTTCGTTATCAGCTCTGACTGTATCCATATTAACGTCCTCCTGGATCTCTTGCTTTGGTTCCTTTTTGGGACGTCCACGAGGAGCACTAGGCCGGCTATCTCCCTCTGGAGGCACGTTCGCCGGTCGTTTCTGGGTTCCAATTTGAAATGCATAGCTGCCGTCTTCCAATTGCACAGCAACAGGATCGCTAAATGAACGATTATAATCCTCCGGTTTGCCAACAGCCATGCATTCCAGGAGGCTAGCGTTGCCTTTTTTGAGTAGTTCCTTTGAAGGACCCTTCAAAGGGAACCCGTATTCATCCAGCCGAGGAACCACATCTATGGGCGGTATACGCCCATTCGTATTCTTGGAGGAGTATTCAACAGCCTCCCACACTGCGTCTCCTGCCTCGACAAGGTTTCTGTAGGTCGTGGCGGAGTAGTAGAGGTACATGGCTTGGGTCCGGTGAAGAACCGTGTCTCTGACGATAGCCAAATGGCGCAGGTGTGCAGGTTGCGAAAGCTGCCAACATTCAACAAGACGGCCCAATGCGTTCTCTAGGGGTCTACGGAAGAAGCCCCCGAAACAAATTCGGACAATGCCCTATCGCCTATTAGTTTTTTTTTTTAAAAAAGAAAAAAAAAAAAAAAAAAAAAAAAAAAACGAGATGAAAGCCGGGCCTACATAATTGTTGATGCCATTTGCCCCTGCTGCGTCAATAACGTTGAAGATCATATGGTGTAGATTGCGATCCGGCGTCCAGATGGGCAGGACCCGGCCAGATTCCTCAACATTGTCCTCGCGTTTGATCATGCCAAGCGTACCTTCGCTGGTTGAATTCCTTCCTGTTTCCTCTTCCAGATCATCGTCTGGCTCGTCCACATCCTCCTCTTTTTGTCCCATAAGGTTCCGGCTAAAAAGGTGGAACAGTTCAAGGTCTTTTTCTGAGGGTTCTCGTAGAAGCTTGACGCATGGATATGAATTGTTCATCGTGTCTTTGTATTGTGACATCGCCTTGACCCGTTTCAAGACGCCAATGCGTTCAAACTTGCGCAGTGCACGGGAAAGCACCTTCCAGCGCCACCGGTCAGAGAAACCCAGAATCCTTTTGAGATCCTCGCGAGCAATAATTCCGTGTTGCTTGAGAATTTCGAAAAGTTTATCAGTGAAGACATCGAAGTCGATAACGCGATCCGTTGCTTCAGCTCCCCGATTTGTCGGTGCTTCGGCCATGTACTCTGTTTTTGAGAATTTCGGCAAAATACACAAACTTGTCCGTATAGACTTGAACTGGAAGGGCCGTTTCTGAATGTATCCTTTGGTCTGCAACCTATCTGTCCGCTTCGGTACTGACCGTTTATCCTGGCCACTGAGTCTCACCAATTCTGTCTGAACAACGCCACTGGAGTTGCTGGACGCAATGATAGATAGAAGGGCGAACTCCGTAGGTAAGATCTTGGTCTCGTCCGGTTCATGACCGGCAACTGCAAGCCAGGTTCGCTCCTCCGTAACGAAGACCCGAGGCACATCATCCTTTGTTCCATCCGCATCTGCATTTTGGGTGAGACGTTCTGCATCATCAAAGGTGAGGTGGTTTCCCTCGCGGTTCTTGCCCACGGAGACCTCTGGATGCCTCGTCAGCCAGGACCAGACTTTGGCCTGGAAGCGACGGTCGACAGTATGTGTCTTGTGAGATGCATCCTGCGCTTCTTTGGCATAGAATGCGGTGGTGAAGTTCAGAATATCAGGTAGAGAGGCGCCTGGTGTTTGTTAGCCATGGTGAATTCTGATATTTTCATGTATAGCACAGGCAAGACGAAACAACATAAAACTAGCGCCTTTGGAGGCCGGTGGATACACAAAATTTGGACAGATCTAAAAGGATTTACATCCTGCAGGAGGCTTGCAGCAGACCAAAAAAAAAAAACAAAAGACCTACCTTGGTCACCACAAAGAGCAATCTCTGCCAATAAGTAATCAATCAGTTCTTGCAGACTGGGGGCCATATTCTATCCATGGCCATCTATAACCAAAATAAACAAATGAGATGGGTAGGTGTGTTGCTGTCTATATCATGCTCGATGCTAGCGATGGTGGAAAATTGAAAAATCTGCGATGGCGAAAGGCGCGATTCGAACCGACGAGGTTCAGTGACCGGAATTTCTAGTCACGTGACTTTACTCTTGCCTGTGGATTCAGGCATTATGCAAGTTAACTAACAATCCACAGGCGAGCCGGCCACCCAAGCCAGCCGGCCGCCTCTGTCTGTATTGCATACTAAATGGTCCTTTTTATAATCTCGATATCTTAGCTAGTTACACAACGCTAGTTCACTCCCACACTGCTTTCATCAACCGTTAACGTTCATCTGATTGCAAGGTACAAATACTACATCTAGATGGAGAGGATTTATGCACTTGGCCAATGGTGAATACCTGCTTATTACCAGCATTTCTCATACTAAAAGATCCGAGTGTCTTCGCGAATCTGCTGCTGACCAGACGACTAGACCATTGTACATACCATCATCCTCCCGTGGTTGCCCTCCCGCTATATAAAGCACAATGTCCGTTGCAATGACTCGAGTCTCGTCGAATTAACCTCGTATTGTGCCTGTGTATAATCACATGCATGATGTTATGCACACGGCTTATTGTACAGCCCACAACCATGCCACGACGATTACGTTCCCTCTTGATTCTGGTCTGCATTGACCAACGATACTCGAGATATATATAACTATTGAGTGTCCAAAACAACCGGATCTAGACATGACATCACTGGCTTTACATCAGTGTTAGGCCCAATCGGGAAACCGAGCCGCTAAAAGGGGAAGATCATTTGCCTCCGTCAGTTTCCGGCAAAGGACTCCGTCTTCCTTTCATAACTACATATCAATTGCGCTCATTCTTGCTTCTCGGGGACTTTCTTTCCTGTCTTCCTTTTGTTCCTGTTCACGCCATGAAGTTCGCCATTTGACCTTTCCTCTCTTCTCCCATCCTCTCGTCCGCCGCTACTACACCCAAATAAACAACCACAGCAGTCTATCGCCACACTCATGGAAGAAGGAACCGCCTCCTCGATCCCTTCCGAGCCTCCTCCGCTCCTATACTCGCTGCGAGACCGGAAGAAGTCCATCATCATCTTCTGGACGATCTTCATCATCGATACTTTGGGTCAACCGCTGGCGCTTTACTGGGCGCTGTGGTATGCTACAGATCTGTCGCACAATGTCGGTATGTTTTGAAGTCGCCGTTGTTTACTTGCCGGTCCTTATCGCTAACGCTTCCGGCGCTTTTTTCCAGTCTTCTCCATTGTCACCGCGTCGTTAGGAGGTGTCTCCGTGTTCGAATACTTTTATCGACTCTACAATTTGTTCCGGAAAAATTCTCGCGCACGGCCGCTGAACGCCAGGTCATCATGGGTACGCTCAACAACTTTCGAAATGGACAAAACAGGACGCAACGGTTGACACTAGGATTCTCAATTGCAGTTGGATTTCTTCCAGATTAACTTCACCATTGTTTGGTTGATCCTCGCGGTCGAGCTCATAGTGTAAGTATTACTTGGATAAATGTGCAGATCAACGGCTAACGGATCTGCAGTGGGACGGTACCTGAGGAACCATACGGTAAGCTTGCTCTCGGACTTCTGCCCGCTTGGCGTCATGCTCATCTCAATGAATAGTCCGTCTCGTTGCTATGGTCCTACCAACCGTCATGTTCTACTTCGGTGGCGTCCACCTATCCCTTGACGTCCTTCGCGCCTGTGGCTACAAAGCTCCGTTCCGCATTTCTTCCACACCGAAAGGTTCCGTGATGCCAACCGCTTTATATGTTCTTATCGAAGATGTAGTCGCCGTCGACGGAGGTGGTGGCCAAGTATACCGATACGCCTTGCGAACACGATACCTGTCTAGCCCGTATTTCCGGCGAATGTTGTTTGAAATGAACTGCTTCTGGGGTGGTGGCTCCGTCATCTTTGCAGCTGCCATCACCGCAATCATCTTCACTACACCCAGGCCGATTGCTTACACTGTGAGTTTTAATTCTCTCCTATGGGCCGCACATGTACTAATGATGCATAGCTGGGATGGACTCTACCATTTGTATGGGCGGCAGTCTGGACCTGCATCACCATCCCATGGGTCCAAAGTGACCTCCGTCGCGAAAAGGAAGCTTGGCGCGAAGGTCGGGTCCAGGGAGGCGTTCCCTTCACCGACGACATCACCGCGCCAACCGCCCGGACTCGCTTCCGCTCCGTCCAAGAAAACCTACCACACCTTCTGCCATGGGTCCGCGAGAAACAGTCGAACCCGTCGTCACCTTCGGAAGGCGAATCACCCCCGGCTACCCAATGAGTCCTTTAAAACACTTCTCCTTTCTAGACCCTTGACGCCAGTCACGACCTTATATACCCATGTCTTTTTTTCTTTAAACTTAATTATAGACACGCTCTATATGAGAAATGCCTAATATTCGACAGTTATCCACAGGTACACGGAGGGTGGGACTGGATTGCGCAACCGGAGCTATGAGTTTTTGTTTATGTCTGCTTTTCTTCGATTTAGAAAGGGAGCAAGTTTTGGACATGTGCCATGTTCAATCTTCATGCAATGTTTTCATGTTACTGTATCTAGATACCCATCTTGTGCATAATTCAGATAGCAGGCAAATGAACGCATAACTATAATAAAAGCATGTAACAAAGAAGGTATCAGTATTAAAGCGACTGAATTCACTGGATTTACTTCACTTCCCAAGAAAGACAGACATCTTTCACTGTCACTGCCTATATAAACCTCCCCGGTCATTGCCAATCAACCTTCATCACTATCCTTCTGATCCCAGCTCTCCAGCACCGGCCCCTATCCAACTCTTACCCAAGCACAAAACCATACTCTGGTTACCACAGTCACAGGTACCAGGAAGACTTAGCTGAGAGGTGCGAAATCAAAGAAGCTTGATTGGAAGTGACAGATGACGGCCAAGGAGTAACATGACGCCACAAGGGACACTGAAACCAAGGCTAGCGGCGAGGCAGAGGATAGCAAGGTCCAACAGCAGAACGGGACAGTTAAGGAGGCGGATCCAGAGCCGGAAGACGAGGCCCTCGCGCTCGCAAAGCAAATTGTGCCCTTCGTGCGAATACTGCACCCACACCCACTAGTACAATGGCCATGATACCATCTTGGGTCATGTTGTTCCAAAGCCCTCCACGAGTGGAAGACACGCTTACCGAGAAAGAAGACGACTACCCTGAACTTGGGCAATTTGAGATTAAAGGCGACAATACAGTACATACTGATATCGTTCATTGGTTCCTGGTCAAGCCAATACTTGCTAATATCGCGAAACTAGCTCGCAATCTCATTGGACACCGAGGACAAATGGCAGGGAAAATGTTATACCAGTCATGGGTGCTGGTACTCTTTCTTTTTCACTGAATTAGAAAGAGAATGAGCATGTAATAAGTGCTCATGGGTACCAGTAAGTAGAGCTATGCTCTTCTATCTCCGAGTCTCAATTCTTGATATACTAATTCATTTAACCAATTTGGCAAGTCAGTCGCGCATCCGTACAGGGTCTTTTCCAAGCAGCCAGCTTGGTATGTTATACAAAGCACAGGGCTGCCGACTACCCACCCTCATCATAGAGACAGGCTGGTCAGAAACGCATCGTCATTTGAAGTCAATAGAAATCCTCTCCCTGGTAATGACCGCACACCACTGACCTGTTGCACTTCTGCACACACCCACTTGGTAGCCAGCAAGTCTGGTTTAGCAAGCCGAAATACCACGGAGGACAAAAGGCCAGCGAATTTTACCCGAAGTACAAGGATAGAGGAGGAACATGGCAGCCGTGGGGCCTGATTCAACGAGATCAAGACGGAAAGATCACGAAGCATTTATGACGAATGTGCGCAGGTCCGAGGGATTGAACCCAGGGCGAATGCTGACAGTGTTCCCGTACAAACACAACTCAGTGTAACTAATCACATTCGTCCACAGAATGGATACGACGCAGGTATTTTCTCATCCTAGCGAGGAGAGCAAAAATAACGGAGAGGGGAAGGCCGAGAAGAGCAATGGAGGGGACGCTAGGATGATGGGAATGACAGAGAGAAGGCACCTTATGGGAACAATTAGAAGAGGATGTATGCGCATTTCCGTCCTGTTAGTACAAAGCAATCAGTTGAGCTCCAAAGTGACAGTTAATTTAACTCCTAGATGCACCTTGAAATGCTGCAAGACCACATGTACGCAAGATTGGGCAAGATTATGACAGATGCCAGTCCTGAAGTCTTAGAAACTTAGCCAGGGGTCGTTGTAAAGTTCTCTTGCCGTAGCTCGATGCTCCGAATCCAATTGGAGCATCCTCTTCGCATAGTCAAGGAACAATTGTTTGTCTTCGTCGTGTAAAGATGGGGTAAGATTCGATCAGTTGAAATCCTCTGACGGGATCAAGTCTGGAAGTCTGAAGATTCCTAGATAGGCTTTTCTAAGCATCCGAGATATCATGCCAGCATAAACATATCATACCTTCGTCGGAAAAGAACATGGAGCAAAGGGCTTTACCAGCTTTCTCCAAGAATCGCGAAGGAGGCGGACCAAGAAGCTGTATCATTTGCGCTAAGTGAGCAGCTTGAGAGTACTCATCTTCCACGAAATTTTCCGTTAAAGATAGCGGTCTCCGCCAGAAGATCCCAGAGCTATAGTTCTCTTAGCATCTGTGTATAAGCCGTATGCTGAGGTTTCTTACCACAAACCCCAGATTCCAAATATAAGCACTATAAGACCAACCTGCCTCCAAAAGAACCTCCGGCGCACAAAACTGCAGCGGCTGAATATCATAGCTGTGCGGAATCGACGCATTTCCAAAAACAGCGGCACTGAAATCACTGGTTTTGACTTGCCCTGCCCCCTTCTTTAGAGGGCCAAAATCAGGCCGTTACGTGAATATAGGACGATCAGAAGACATTTTATATCGAGGGGCGTCAGCTTCCTGATAACGGACGTAGTTTTCAAGAGTGGTAGGGTCTTCGAATGCAATAAGTTATCGGATTTGAGGTCTGTCAAATGAGTATTAGGGATAATCTTCTGGCGCAATAGATGGGAATCAATAAGGACTCACCTGTGTGTATGATGTGGCACTCAGGATGAAGAAAATCCAACCCCTTCAGCAACAACCTCAGGGAAGCTTTCAGTACCTTCGGAGGTAAGCCGACACTCCCAAGATGTCTTCCCAGCAGCCAAAGCGGTTCTCTCAAAGGCTCGAAAACTAGACATATACGCTTTCTAAAAGGGCCCTGGATCTGAAAGAAGTCCTCTACGGTACGAACATGTGTCTGACCCTGATGGTCGGATTTCAGTCCAACCTGAGAAATATGTTGGGATATCGCCAGTTCTTTTTGGGCAGATTTCTGTGCACCTTCGCCGTTGTTTGTGATTTTTAGCGTTATATATCTGTTCCTATACGTACCTGTTTTTCTAGAGCGACTCTTCTGGACGCCGCCGCTTTAATGAGGGTACTCTCCCCCTTTATATTGCGCGGATAGTTCGACGGCCATGTCTGATGAACAGCCCTCAAAATTGCCCAGGTCGTCCAATCTGCCATACAAGATGATACACAAGTAGAAAGCTGGTGGAAACTAGCTGAATCCTGAGTGGCGAACTCTAAGCGAAGCATACACCCAGGACAACTGTAAATTAATATGAAGATAGGTTTCCAACAAAGCTATAAATACAAGTATTTCCCTCTCTTCAAGATAGTCAATTATGTGGAAGCAAGATCCCATCAGCCATTACTCCTTTCATTTACCCTTCTTATATTACATCTTTCAATTGTCTTATTCACATTAATCTTCCGCATTCGTGCCTTTCCCAGTTCGCTGACGAGATGATAGGCAAAAGAAGTTTCTTCTGAGATGAAGAGGTAAAAAGAAAGCGCCATGAGCGCCGGGCAGAAAATGGCTATGTTGTGACGGCCTGGTCACGTTGGCTGGGTATCACGTGAGGTGCAGTTGTTTGCTTTGTTGATAACTACGGCGTTACCTCCTTTCTTCCTTCTTCGTGTCAATTATTCTCGTCGATAGCTACCTAGGTAGAACACATGAGTTGATGTTCCGTTATCCTAGCTGAGCCCCGTGACAGCTGATGGAATTTGGAAACCCAGGAAACTGACTTCAAAAAGGAAGAGAGCTGCCAAGACAGAACCAACATGTGTGGATGAGAAGGCTCAAGAGCCAGTCCCAACGCAGGCCAATTTCACATTCTGGGAATATCCATGCCCTCCCTCTTACTCCAGCAGTGATGCACCAGGCAGCTTGGCCAGCAAGAACAGCACAGCTGACATTTCAGCCCTCACTTCTTCTTTGAGTTCTAGCGGCCCATGAAAGTGGTGTATGTCCTCTCTCGTCTTGTTGGTTTGGATCAATCCATTTTTGTCACAGGAGTAATTGCATCAAGTTCGCAGGTCCGTTTTTTGCGAGTAAATGGAGGATGGTTTCTTCGTTGTCATTCTGTCGAGAAATGTGCCATGCAGTTAAGAAGTTTGTTAACCTCGGGATTATATGAAGCACGCAGAAAAGTGCGTCAGGATCCAAATTATGAGCTATGAGCATCAATATCTCCGGTGGCAATAAGTGTAGCATTTGTCCTAAAGCTGGCAGGTTTATCTGGACACGATCAATGGAGGTACTTTGAGAGGCTATAGTTGATTGGGCGTTGTTATTTTGTCACTCGATAAACACTTGAATTGTTTCCGAAAGCTATTAGCTATCGAAGAAAAAACTTTTCTGGTAGCGAGACACCTCAAAAAGGTTTTGTAGACCGACATGCAAATCTTCGGAGCGTTGTCGCGTCCGACTGTCCGATGAGATCCGACGAACGTTTGAGGTAGTAGGTACCACATAAGGTAAATACTGTAGCAATGGATTATATACGTATTACCTATCTCACTGTCGCGATAATGTAACTCTAGCTGCTATTCTAGCCTATCTAAAGCACTGTCGATACAAAAATGAAAGGAGAATGCTAGAATTCCCACGACTCATCAACCGATTTAATAGCCCAGTCAAATTTCTCCTGTAAGCTCTTCGAAAATAGTTTATTTACTAGCACATTGAATTTTTTCGAGAACACTAGAGTCGCGGATCGGTATAATTCTATATCGCATTAGCCATCAGCGGATGAACTAAAACCGCGCCTGGAACATCAAAATCAGCACCCACGAAAAACACGTCTTTTTCACACGTCAATCGACCGATAGGGGCCTCCTGGCACCTATAAACCACCATGGAGGCACAGAGACCCCGTAGTGGTGGTGCCCCCCCCCCAGCTCACGGGAACACCGGATATGCGGATTCATCATCACTGAATGGCACTGCAGTCACATCATCACGAGCCCTAATACTGGGATGCTTGATGGTCTCGTTCACTCACATCATGCAGGAGGCTTTGCTGTTCTTTTCCAGCACTGAAGCACAAGTCGCTTGCTGGTGATCATAATTCGGCATTGGCATTAAACCCACTCATAGAACCGACTCTCTTATAGAAGTGACAGAAGTCCTTCATTGCCTTGCTCGGGACGTCAATACCCGAGTCCCAACTGAGCCAGATTCCTATGCTGATGAAATGCTGGTAGACGGCATTCGGATTATCCCCAACCCAATGCACGAGGCTTGTTTATGGTGTACGTGATGTATTTTTGCTACGGCATCTTTTTGCAAGAAAACCTCAGGCATTGATTCCGACATAAAACGTAGGGCTCCCCACTGGTGTCCAAGTAATATCCGGGGCGCGTCTACAAAGTGCCGTTGATGTTGAAATGCATTCAATGATTTTTAGATAACTCTACTATATACACACTGAACACAAATTGATGTGTTGCGGGCGAGTCAAATTTGGAACACTATCGGGGTATCAATGCATCATGCTGAGGGTAGAGACGAGAAACGAAAAGGACAAGATGGAACAAAAAGCAGAAGGGAACGCCTGTAGCCAAAGGAAAGATAAGACATAGCATGCCAATTGGTGATTATTGTGTCGATAAGAGATGCATTTTTGTCGAGTTGCACCAGGCAGGACAGATGCATGCGGCCGGGTTTCAGCTTTAAAAGGTAACGGAACGAGAAGGGATGTCAGATGAGTTCCCGCAGGTCTTGAACCAGATAAGTTCTAAATCAGGTATGCAATAATCGGTCCTTGTCAGAGAAGCGATCACAGCAAGACTGATCAAAGTTAAGGATGACCGATGTTAAGGCCAAAAAAAAAAAAAAAAAAAATCCGGAAGCGCAAATGGAAGCGCACTGCCATCGAAGCTGTTTTTCCAGATCACTATTAATGGACGGAACAAGGAGTCAGAAGCTCAAAACGCAAAGAGTAAAGTCTTCGCGTCGCTACTGCCGTCGTTCGCCAGGCATTTGAGTTCCTCTCTTTCTTGGATAATTTTGTCGATACGTTCTGACATGCCTGAAGCATGGAGGATCTTTGCCAGCGCACAATGAACTTCAAGTACTTCAGGACTCGGGAGGGCGGCATCTGAGTGCTGCTGGAACGTGATTTTCCGAATTCCATAGACATCCGGCCGGGGCAAGTAGGCTTGTATGACGCCTGGTTCAAATGTCAAGATGAAGTATTCGTTTAGGTTCACTCTCTGCAGGCATTAGCGTGCTTTTCGTCTCCTTTACTTCTCGCCTGGGGTTAGATGTTGAAAGAACATACAGTTGCCTCAAAAGCGATACGAAAGAGGCCAAACGCCCGATGAATTCCCGCTTCTAAGGTCATAAGATTTGACTGGTCGTTAATGTCCTGAGGACCAAGGCCGATACGCGGAAAGCACTTTCTGAGAGTGGTCCAAATCTGAGACACTTTGTAATCCTGCAGTGAGTCAATATTTATAGGGCTGTAATAGAATATTCTGACGGACCTAGTCTCTGTCCTCCCAATGGCAAATCGAGAAGGGAATAATATGGGCCAACTCAGTATCACATGGATATGGCGAAGGATCTACTGAAACCAAGCCGGCCTTCACTGCATTCACTTCAGGTAGGCCCGTTGCTAGACATCGAAAACCGTCCCGACGAAGACAAATCACTTTGAGCAATTTCTGTACAGTCCTCGTTGGCGTCTCTCCCATGGAGCTAGCCGTAATCTCTGACGCTTCATGAAAATCTTCAAACGGTGATGGCGTTATCTGCGGCATAGCAGAGCGTGCTTTCACTATAGATAAGAAAACAAGATTAGGAATCAGTACACAGTTCAGATGCAACATTGGACTCACTTGGCATCAGAATCGAAGTGAGCAGATGTTGATATAAACAATGCAGTCGTTCATCATCCAAGAAGACAACAAACTCAGCAAGCATTTGCTTGCCATCATCTGGTAAAAAGTCCAAAAAGCTCATGAGAACGTCCCGGGTCTGGTCATCTTGCCCCTTTGGTACATACGACGCAACTCGCTCGTGGGCAGCTCGGTCGTCAAAATATGACGGCACACTGCTCAGGTCACTTTCCGTACTAAAGAAATTGGATATCATGTCGTCCACTTCGTCCCCAAATACGTCCTCACGGCTCGTAGCCATGGCGGGAGAGTGGCGATGGTGAGTTCAGTATGGCAGTGAGGTGAAAGATGATCCAGGACACAGAAAGTGGTTGATATACAAAGAGCAAAGATGGAAATAGCGAGTTATATTAGAAGTAGTGAGCACTAGATGGACAAGGGACGATGGTTATGGATGTAGGTGATCTAGAGTAAGACGGGAAGATATTCTGCCACCGCCACCGGCGCCACAAGTGGAAAACGGTCGAGTTTGCTCTGTTTGCATTGCATTCAATGTTGAATGCTTCTATACATTCACCTCAACAATTACGTCCTTTCTCAGTCACTCCCAGCAACAACATACTGCTTCTCCATCTTCAACATCCCCAACGTCTCATCACTCAACCCCAACTTTTCCTTCACAATCTGCCTCGGCGTACTCGCAATCCACTGCCCCAATGCAATATCTGTAAAAACATCCGCCTGCAGCACCTCCAAAAACACCAACTCCTCGTCCCCTGTATTCTCGATATAGTGGCTATTCGACTGTGGGAAGTAACCCACGTCATCGGCCATGTAATTGAATGTGGTTGCTGTCAAGGGCGCCTCGAAGAGCGTCGCGCGGCCCTGGCCATGAATGAAGAACATCCATTTGTCGCTGGACAGGTGCCAGTGGATCTCGCGCATGCCGCCGGGGTTCACAGTCACGATTGCGGCGGAGAAATTGGAGGCGATAGGGAAGGTTGCGGGGTCAATGATTTTAATGGAGCCACCGGCGACGCGGTGTGCGGGTTGTTGGGAGAAGTGGTAGGTGTAGCTTTGGGAGCGGGGGATGAGGCCGGCAAGGGTGGTTACGTTTTGTTCGGAGATGCTTGAGGGGGCGGGGGTGCCGGGGAAGATGTATAATTTGTCTTGGGGGATATTGTCCAGGGAGGAGATGGGGATGCCTAGGTCTTTGGTGAGGACTTCTTTCTGTTGGTTTCACTTATCAGTATGCGTTCGTTTTAAGAGGATATTGGGGACATACCAGCTGATGAGCAAACACCTGCGAAGCCAGGAAGGTGTTATCCTCAGAAAACGACCCGTCATCAAAAACAAGCAGAAACTCAACACCCCCATCTAGGGCTTGAATTGAATGAGGAACGCCCCTTCATCATCAGCACCACATCCCGATAACCAACCATGCCAAACCAACATATACTTACTTAGAAAAAAACCACACATCTCCCTCCGTAACATCATCAACAAACGTCTGCCCCTTCTCATTAACAGCCTGGACCTGACAAGACCCATTCAGCACCAACGACCACTCCCCCGCAACATGCCAATGCAGCTTCCGATACGCCCCAGGCTCAAGCCGCATATTTACACCAGCCATCCTGGTAGCATCAGGCATCACGACTGTATTTTCCTGCCTTGCCCAGCCGGAGTTCTCAATACCTAGTCTGTTGCGGCTGAGTGCCATGGGCCATTGTGCATTGATTGTCTGCCCCTTGTCGGTGCTGGGGGGTGCGAGTTTGTTACTGTTTAGGCGTTGGTAAACGTCATTTCCTGTCTAGTTAGCATTCCTACTCTCCGCCCTCGATTATATCACCCCCATGAGAGGCGGAGATAGTGTAGACATACTCAGCCCTGGGTCCGTGCCCCCGTGACTCCCGCGGATCGGCTGTGGATTCTCAACATCCCCGAGATCAAGATAAACACCCTTATCCGCATCCTCCTTCTGCCCTTTCACCAGCTCATACTGGACCGAGGTATTTTTCACGGGAACATCGCGAGAAGGCGAGTAACTAATGAGATTGCTCAAGCCGCGCAGTCCGGGATTAGAGGTCAGAGCTGCCTGTGCAGCGGAGAAGAGAAGGACAAGCGCAAGGATGTGTTTTATAATATGATGCAATAGTTCACTGGCTAACAAGTTATTATTTGTGTGAACAAACGATTGTTGAAAGGGCAGTAGTGGTTGCCTGCAACTGGGTAGTATGCAGTATTTATATCTATCAGGTGCGACGCTACACCATACTACTTTGGTTCTTGGTATGTATGTGCATTCATTATACCACGGTCTGTCTAGAGGTGCAGACAAGGCCGGAGCCAGCTTGGCCTCTGCCGGCCCTCTGTCTGGCTGGGAACGAAACGAGTTGAGGTGACCGTATTGTATCTGTTAACTACTATGCTCGGAAGGATGTCATAGGCACTATTCAGAACGAATAGACGAAGAACTCTGATGCTAGATATCTATCTATCGTACGGCCTTTTTATACACAATCTGGCGGCCGTCAACTAAGCGCAAAAGGGAAGGTCGTTGCGAAAGAAGTTCAAAGAGACAAAAGGAGTACAAAGCGCATAACGCATGTATGCGGTGGTCATTGTCAAAGGATGCTGCTGCATAGCTGTAGTCCCCGGTCCTATCATCATAGTTGTATCCGCTCATGCATATGCTCGGGCAGCCATAAGTCGTACGTCGTAGATAGGCAGGATAGTCAGACTCTGATTGGTCAGTCAAAGTAGCGAGCATTATCAATCATTCGGCATATATGGAAGTCAACAGTATCTGCCATATACTGTAAGACACTCGTACGAGCGCGGGGACAATGATGTGTACTAAATTAGAGAAATCAGAAACCAAGAATCCAGAATTAGAAATTAGAGAAAACAATCACATTGGGAGATTCACTGCCGATTTACCGGTTACAACATACATTATAGTCCACTGTTATACTTACTCTATCAAAAACAAGAGAGAAACTAAGAGGTCAAGCCTACAAACTAGAAAGCTTGTCCGAGACTTAAACTCTATAATTTTGTTGCCTGGACTGATTTACGGGCATGACTCTCGATTGCTATTGTTATAATGTATCAATCTTGCAGATTATATTGCATGCAGTTGCCACCAAGGTTACATACAATGCCGGGTTATCGGGGGTACGGAATACGGGTTTATGCAACGGTATGTCCGAATGCCTCAGTGATTCCCGGGGCGGGACTATACAGAGAAAGAAGTGAGTTGATGATTCATTTTAAGTTGTTATGTTTACATTCTTCCCACAGCAATATGGCCGTGGTTTACCGCCTGCGTTGATCGCAGTGTTTCATGGCCATGAGTTGAGCTCACGGCTCAACCCTGCATGGCTGCAAGTATCCGAGATCTAGCTAGAACAAGTTAATGAGTACTACTACTACTACTACTACTACTACTATTACACTGCTACTATTACACTGCTACTGAAATGGTGAGACCAGAGGGTAACGTCTGATAAACTGAGACAAAAATTGGCCTGAGCGTGAGAAAATGGTATTAAGACAACGGGATGGGGTTGTGGTGTGAAAAGTGAGAATGATAAGAAGGTGTTGAAAGCATTGAAGTGAAGGTGTCGAGTTAGGGCAGCCAAGAAACAAGAAACTGGTCATGATTGGAAGATAATAATCACCGTGAGCGCAGCGGCGAGCGATTAGTATGGAACTTGTTTGTGTTTTGGGAAGGGGGGGTAGACAGAATAAAATATAGGTTATAGATATTTGGGATGCTGTCTGTTGCCTTCCAAAGTCGTTGAATTAGTACTCCCTATATCCCATGGCAAGAGGAACTCTAAGTGTCTTTCGCGAGCCATACTGTAGAATTAGCTCCCCAGCCCGGTTTTGAAACGATATAGTATCGCCCAGAGATTGTCTTGCCGATACGAGCGGAATAGTATTTCTTCGGGTCATAGTAGGCATAGTGGTCCTCCTCTGAGATGGAGAGGGAATTGGCCTTGCGCAATTTCGGCCCTGGTCTGGATGAATTTGGGCTAAGTCTAAGAAGCTTGGAAAGGGATGACCGATAGCGCGACATTGAAGCATATTCAGTGGTGATTTCATTGAGTAGATTGAAGCTATAGGTGTTTAGAGCCGAGTAATCCCAAATGATGACATTGTTTCATGCAAGTGAACAATTATAGTCATATTGTGCCCTAGCTAGATGTACTACTTTACAATATATATTCCAGCATGCAAGTTTTGCAAATGCAGTTAAATAGCAATAGAAATGGAAAGAAAAGAATTAAAAAGAGAAAGAGAAAAAAAGCAATGAGTACAAGAAAGAAAGCTCTTTTTTGCAGAAACAGAGATAAATGAACAAAAGCAATGCAATAACGACTCGACGCCTGTATATGGTCCCACTGCATAAGGGTATCTCATCGCAAAAGATGACTAGTTACAATAGATAATGTTGAACAAGAGATGAGAAGGGAAATGTGGCAGAAATTAAATGTAAAACATCGTCCATAACACCGGTCAAATGCGCAGGGAATCAAAAAGCGGCCTTCGAGCTTACTTTCGAGAAGGCATCAGCTTCCGACCCAAACTCTTGAATGTCATTTTGTGACTGTAAGGAAACATGTTAGCCGGGGAAGGTTCACTATTGAGATATGAGAACAGGGAATCTCACCTCTCATCTTGCCCATCCCAGTTACGAGCCCGAGCACTCGTCTCGATGCCACCCGAAGTCACGGGTCGGCTGGGAGGGTTGATGAACCGTCGAGATTGCTGTGAATGTTAGCATCGTTTTCTTTTTCAAGGAAGCAAATTAGGGGCACTAACCTCCCAGCGAGAATCCACATCCGCTTCATTGATAGAGCGGGAATCCGACGCCGCTCTGTCCTGAGTGTAACCGCTCTTCATGCTAGAGCCAATCGAATTTGATCTCCCAAGTGGCGAAGCACCAGACTGGAATGACCTTCTCGACGGCGAGTCCGAATATTCGCTATTGGAATCTAAGCTCGCCAGACTTTGAGTCTTGTCTGAGGCTGGCGGGTTTGCGATGCTGTCAGAGTTCTGTAATACTTGACTGGTATTCGCCTGCTCGCGTTCTCGTAGTCGCTTTTGTTGTTGCTTCGAAGGTCGGTTGTACGAAAACTTGTTCCCGAGAATGGCGGGCGCATGCGAGATCAAAGCCTTGATCACATCCTTCTTGAGACGCAAGGCGAGGTCGAGGTTGGACCAGGTCTTGTTGTGGTACTCGAGTACCGGTAACCGGAAAACAAAGTCGTGCAGGTCCTCGAGGTTGTGGTCGCCTTTACCCTTGTAACTCAAGCAGAGCACGACATCATGCACCTTGATATGGGCAAGCGTCATGTAATTCGACGCCCGAGACATCATCTGGGAGAGATCATCTGCTCCCTCCTTGGACTTGCCGTTCTTGTCACGCGAAAGGGTGAACTTCTTGCTCTTTTCTTCAATATCACCCGAGCTGGTCTGGGGCTTCTCGCCGTTCTTTGACAGAACGCGCATGCTGTCGGCAGACCTCTTCTTGGTTAATCCGCCACTAGTCGATGGACGGGTGACTTGCCGAGTCATATCCGCCCCTAATTTGTTGTTGTCCCGAGTGAGCGGAGTTATCCCAAGACCCTTGCGCTGGTTCGAGCGGACACTTGGTGCTTTCTTGTCGTCAGATAAGGATAACGTAGCCTGAAGTCGAAGTTCAATATCCCCAGGGCCTCTAGTCCCTTGTTGATAGTCTGACGGGAAGTCCCCTTTGGTGTATGATGTCGGCGGGGGTTGCGGGCTTTCGTCATCGTCATCCGAATCGTCGATTGGCTGCATGTTCTTTATCATCATAGGCGAGAAACCGCCGTTGTCGAACGCACTCGAACCGACGTTGGGGAAAATGTACTCGAAAACCTTCTGCCCAAGTTCGTGTTCCAACTGGACCTTGAGTGGGAACAATGACACCTCGAAGTCGTCTAGGACTGGAATACCGGCGACAGCTTCCAGCATATGCCATTTTACCCTGAGCATGGAATCTTCTGCTCCGTCAAGTTTGCGCGCTTGGTCGAGATACGGCACAATGATCTGAGGATATATGGCATCCGAGAGCAGGTTCAAACCATACAATCGTTCGATCGCGACCTCGTTGTGGTTGGAACCATCCGAATTGTCAGTGCGGTCATACTCGGCATTCCGGAGTTGAATCTCGATCAACGGCTCCGACTGGTCTTTCATCAAATGCCAAACAACCTCAGAGGCAGATATGTTCCAACGCAGAATGCCATTCACCTCAGACATTGTCGGTTCGGCTCTCCTCTGGGATGAAGTAATAGCCTTCATCAGGAAGAACAGCTCATCCTCGCATTTGGCGAGATCATCTTCAAGTGTCAATCGATCATCCCAGCCTCTCTTGTCCAGGTGCTTGGCGTGGATCTCGAAATGTTCCTTGATCTCTTCGAGCTGCTGGATACGAGACTGAAGTTTGAACACCATCTCCGGAGCACCTCTGAGGTCGCTGAAGTCGGACGTGAGCATGATCTTTTCCAGGCGCTCATTTCTGACCTTCTCCAGGGGCTCGCTGTAGAGTAGCAGGTCAAGGACGATGATGTACATGGAATAATATTCGGCTGAGTCACAAATGGCGCGGATATGGGGAAAGTCGACGAAGATCTGGTCCATTCTGGCTTCGTTTGCGGTTCGGTCGTTATGCGTGCTGGAATCTCCCTTGGCCACCTCGTCGTTGTACTTCAAGCGAAGGTTGTTGTACTTGTCATATCTCAAGCTGGCCGAGGTCTTTTGCACAATCCGGGAGAAACCAAACGGATTCAACTCGAAGTCGAACATCGCCTCAAGCGTCAACCAAGGAGGCCATGCAGAACCAGGTGGATTGCCGTATTTGTTGCCAGCGTAGAACTGCAAGTGAGCCATCAGTTTCTTCTGCGTGGCCACAAAGAACTGTGCTCCATCCATCTCCAGGGAGAAACGACGCTGCACCAGACCAGATACATCATCTGACACGCGCTCTTTATCCATGATAGACACAACCTTCAGCTGCATGCCCTTGGCGGCGACAAGCAGGACAGACTTCTGATTCTTTTCGCTTTGGAGTTGGATCTGCGGCGCGATTAATCGCAAGTGGTAACTGTTTTGAGGCGTGAACTCAGGGGCAATATTCGCAGTCGAGTCATCTCTCGAGCCCTTTCGTTTAGCAGCGTCGGGAGGATCAGCCTGGTCGTCGGCGTACACATAGCGCTTCGCATCGCTGAGCAGTTGCTCAATACGCTCCTCGACACTCTCATCATCACCATCTTCGGCTTCAGGCTCGTCTTCTGACTTAGAGGGAGGCTTGGACGGATGTCCCGGCTTGTGCTTGCTCTGTTCGGCGACAATATCAAGGATGAATTTGACCGCCCTTCGCGACATGTAGTATACGAACCCTCGTCTCTGGCTGACTTGGTGGCCGTACCGCAGAATAATGTTCCTGAGCGCGTTATTCCACTTCAATTGCACGTTGTGGATAACGAAACGATTGTTGAAGTCGCTGGCGAACTCATCGTGAGGAGAGGCATACAGTCCACCCAAATAAGACTCTTGGCTTTCGGTTGTTGACTCAGTATCGGTACCGCTTCGAGATGAATCCCCACTGGCGAGGTTTTCAGGTTTCTTTTGCGCTTCCTCCTTGGCGAGATGTTTTTCAAGACGATTAAGCCCTCCGGAAAGGAAGTTCCGTCTTCTTGACAGTGACTCTGCCTGGCGAAGATAAAGCTCATGCTGACTCTTCAGGTCAGGGTTATTGTCGACATCTCTTGCCATTCGAAGCTCGTGCTCGCCAATCGTACGATCGTAGTTCCGTATCTGCGACTCAACGGTAGCAAGGCGGTCTCGGATCAACTCCATCTGCACCCGACGAGGATCGTTGGTCTCAGACATGACGCATTCATGGGTCTGCTCATTTCCAAATTGACTATAGCCATCTTCGCCTGGCGCAATCTCTCCATGGTCCGTCTGGCGGAAGTACGTAAAGCGCGGAGTGAAGGCCAAAGGTAGGATCTGTGTACGAGGGTTCGACTCTTGCGGCAATATCCAGTCGAGCTCGACAAAGTCATCCATGTCAATCCAGTCGAGATTGTGATCAGGAATCGTGAAACGAGACAGGTCGACGGCGGCGACCGGCTGCTGGAAAGAGGATATAATATCGTCTCTGTTTTGCTCGATATCTTCGGCGTTCGTACCCTCAATTCTAGCCGAAACAGCTCGAAAATCTGCGGCTAAAAGGTCCAGTTGGGCTTGGTTGATCCGCATTGCAGTTGCCTTTGTCTCATTCGAAGGTCCCGTCGTGGCTTGTGTGTGAGTCTGTTCTCGTCTTTGGTGGATATCCAGCTTGAAGCTGTCCAGTCGAACTTTCAGACCCGTCGAAACCACCGCATCTTCGCCATAGTCCTCACGGTCCTTGTGCTTGTAAATGTGAGCAACAAACAATGGGGCAAAAAGCAGCTGGTATTTGACGGTGGCCAGATGACGATTGAACTTCTTCGCCGCCTTGGTGATGCCCGGCCAGAGAGGACCTTGCCGAACAGGCAATGACATTACTCCAGAGAAGAGGGACCACCAGCTGAAGAAGTGGGTGAAGAACCGTGGAGTCAAATGGACAGTGTTGTAACTTGCTGATGGTTGAACACCGTCCACGGACCAATCTCGACTCTCCGGGGCCACAACTGAGATATTGAGATGGATATAATCACTCCGGAAACCATTGTAGGCATCGTAGTTCTAAATGAAAAGAAAACTGTTAGTCACTCATACAGACCATAACCAGAGAAGATGCAGTAACATACCGGCTCTACCGACGGATCGACAAATTTGGGATTTTGGAGAACAACATCATAATGCGGCCTGAATTCACTCGACCGTTTGTCGCCGTCAACGATGCGTTCGAAGACCAAGCCAGCACCCCATCTGACGTCGCCGGATAACTTCATCACGACCTTCTTGAAGTGAGCCGCATTTTTCAGGTCACTTGACGCCGAGATGCTTTCCAGATCCTGTGCCGACGCTTCGAAAGCGTATCGCGCTTCATGGCTATAGTCCGGAATAGCCAAAACGTATTCCCCACTGGTAACACTCATGAACTCTGTCGGGTTATCGCTGGTATGGATGTTCCATTTCACGTCCCTGCGCCAACACATTACGAAGCCGGCACCAAAGCCTGTCACAACATACGGATCTCGTGAGCCCTTTAGTCGCAAATGGACGTCTCCATCTTCCTTCCAGACAACTCGGAGTCGGGAATGGAAACTGAGTCTGATCTTATCCCAGAAACCAACCCTGTCGGACGGATCAATTTCGGGCTTGGTGAAGCCTTCGATAATCTTCATCATATCCTGGACTACAGGCTGGTAGGACATACCCCAGGAGATGCTTGTTGGGAGATTGGTGTTGATCTCAATTGTCGGATTTGAGTATGTCTTGACAGGGGAGACAGATCGCCAGACATCAATTTCAACTGGAGGGGTCATGGACCCGTCGGGAAGTGGACTCGAAGGCACAAGTTCCAACCTGACTTGTCTAGCCGACTTGTAGTCCCGGAACTCCTCCGCGATGACAAAATCGGTACGAAGCGACCAACTTGGCATCCTTGGAGGTTGGCCGGGACGCAGGGCCGGAATGTGAATCAAGTCCAACGGATAATCCCTCAAAGTAACGCGAGCTTCGCCCATGTCCAGCTGGATACTCATTGGAATAAGCAAGGCATATTGCATCGACATGGGCATGCCCTTTCCAATCGCGTGAAGGAATTTCGGATAATCATCGAATGGGAATGAAGGCTTGTCGATGACCAGATTCACGTCACTTATCAGGGCTGACATGAGGCCGGGTCGGTTCGGAATGGCAAGAATAGGCTCTGTGTCCTTCGCGTCTTCGGGGGGCTCGTCGGCTCCAGAAAAGAGACTTCGAATCTCTCTGACCGAGATATCCTGGAAACGAAGCGCAGCGTCGATCTTCTTCTTCCAGTTTGCGGAATTGTGCTCCTGGAGTCGATACCACGCCTTCTCTGCCGATACCTTGGACTCAGAGGAAAGACAGGTTGAACCCTCCGTATCGTAACGGAATTTCCTGCCTTTCCCATTAGAATCATCGTGGCCATCGGCACTCTTGCTTCTTCGTTTCCCTTCATTGGTGGTCCGCTCACTGCGAAGAGTCCGATGGCTCGACTTCGCCCGCAGCCGCGACGAGCCGCGTTGCTGGTTTGATTCTTTGATTTTCTGGACCTTCAAATCGAATGCCTCTTCCCGAGCCAGGCGCTGGCGTTGCTCAAGCAGACCGGTACGGTAAATGCAACCGAGCTTCCATTCGAACGCATCATCCTCCAATTCAAAGAGCAAAGCTTTGCTGCGTAGCGATACTCTCGGGACTTTCTTTGGCTCCTCCGGTTCCCTGTCGGTTTCAAGCTCTGCAGGGTGACCTGTGAAGCGGGGCCGGAGCTGTTTGATCGCTTTGGAGGTGTTGATTATGTTGTCGAAAATGCGATGCATCACCATGTGATGAGGAACGCCCACCCGGATGAAGTCGGCCCACATATCTATAGACCTCTCTTCAACTAGGTTGGCTCCTTGCTTCAACTTGATCTTCCGTAGATCAATTCTGACATTGTTCATACTCCCAATCCGCGCCCAAATACCGTTCAGTTTGGGAGCCTCCGCATGCAATCGCACTAATTGGGCCCTCAGAAAAGGAGCAGAAAGACGATGGGAACCAGCCGTTACCCCATAGATCTGGAACATCATTTTGGGATCTGACGGCAAGGTGGCTTTAACCTGCACAACGGTAGCCCTTACGTCGATTGAAGTAAGCTCATTCCTCGGACCTGGTGTGCGTGGTGGGGGCATAGGAGGGGCCGCATTTTTGATATCCGATGGAGGTTCCTTGTCAGATTTGTCGGAAGGACCTTGCGTGAAAGCATCCTGGAGGACGGACATCGCAATGCCAAGGCAATAGAGTCGATAGAGGGAGTATTGAAGATAGACGCCCTTGATCATGGAATTGATATGGAAAATAGGACCCAAGCGGTCGCTCAACGTGCTCAGAGCAACCTCGAATCTCGGAAGGGAGAAGAAAGCCTCAGGCTCAAGGTAGTCGTCGGACTCGATGACGAAGCCCTCAAAGCCCCGAACATGAATCGCCAACCGCCTTCCATCGGCGGCGCCCTTTTGTATCTGTCTTGGAGGGGAGGTTGGAGGGAATCGGAACGGCGACTCATCACCAATCGTCGAATGACTGGGAGTTCGCCGCCTGGCGAGGCTAATGACGTTTTGTTCTGTCTTTTGAGCCCTGTAGTCCGCAGTCCAAGATTGAAGTTGCAATGAGACACCGCGGGAAACGTCTGACACATCTTTGTCGACTCCAGCGATTTCCAAGCTAAACCCTGTGGCTTCAAATTGGAATCGAAGCAGCCAGGGGGGCATGCGTCTTAAGATGCTGGGTTTGTGCTCTTCAGCCGGTGATGGCATCCTCTTCTTCGGGCGTAACACTGCGCTAAACTGCTCAATCACCTGACGTATACCGCGGTTCACTTCTGCGTTGACCATGTGTGCGGAACAAGTATTCAAGGACCCAGAAGCAATAACGTAGACTTCCGGAGACGCACTAAGGTGGACTTTGAATTCCATGTTCTCGGTTGTGAGCAAATTGTGTTTCACGCCGGACGGAGTCTGGTAGTATAGTTGATGCGAGGCGACACGGTATACTGACGCGAGAGCGTAATGAATACCTCCTTCGGATGAGTGGGATGATTCAATATCAAGCGAGATAGATGAGATGGAGGAAATCAGTAAATTGTAGTCGTCGTCGGAAGTAGCCCCCGAATCTGTCCCAGCTGGGAGGACGAATCGAACGACTGGTTCGTGGACAGACAGCTTAATACTGGCTTTTGGAAGTAGTCGCGATATGAGGTGGTGGTTATCCCTCTTCTTTCCGCGAGAAGGGGATGCCCGCCCCTGCACGAGTCCTAAAAGCCGAGAAACATGCCGTGGCTCGAGATCTAAGGAAGGGGATGTGATGACAAGATTCGCAAAAAGAATATTTGTGTTCCGCTCGTCGGGATTGTAGTTTTCGGTGGAGCTGACGGTCTTCGAGGGCAGCGTCGTTTTGATCGTGGTTGTGGCCATGGGTATGTACAGAATGTTGTCCGTTTCTCCAGAGCTGTCGTCCAAGCTGACCGAAAGTGAAATCGCGGCGAGAAGGGCCTGATGGGCGACATCGGTGCGTTGGAAATACATGCGATGGGCGGGACTCTTTTGGTCCATTCTATGCAGGTCAACGCCAATCTCATGAGAAACAATGTTGAGATACATGGGATTCTGGTCTGTTGAAAGGGCTTCGATTGACCGTGACAATCTGAAAAAGCTTAGAGCAACCTGGATCTCCTGGATCCCACGCAATAGGGAACTGGCAAGCTCCTTCGAGTCCGCAACTGTTTGCACGATGGCATCATCCCGGCTTCCAGGTTTGTCTAGTTCCTCCACAAAATCGGCAAAGGACATCTCATTTTCGATGTCACTGTCGTTCGTGGACCCTTTAGCGGATCGCTTAAACTGCTTGATTCGCCGCATAAAGGAGGTCAAATCATCGAATGGGATATGTAAACGCCCGATTTTGGCTGCGACGGAGGCGTCCCGGAGCCCGTCAAGATCCTTATGGAGATGTCCATGGATGTTGAAGCCCACATGGTCCAACAGCTCCGCTGGTTCTCCCCCGTCCACCGACAGTAAAACGTTATTGATGTTCATAATCCATTCGGCCGGGCGTTGTTCAAGGGAGTTATCCTTCTTCCGACGGAACACCTTTCCTCTGTCCACCATCTTGCGCCGGGTATCGACAGCCAAGGAGACGGATCCCACCTGGATCTGGCCCACATCCTGAATGCGAAGTGTGGAGTTGACAGCTACGACATCAACCAGGGCCAGCCAATGGATCTGCCGGTGCAGTCGCTTGACTTTCTCCTTGAGCTGTGTCAATGTCTTCCAGGTCTTGCTCCGCGACGCGTCTGAAGTGGCACCATTTGATTCTTGTTCAATCCGATCCTCCGGCGAGCTGGGAGTCTCGGATCCATCGGAATGGTGTTCTGCACCCTTATTCCTCCCCTTCCCCTTGGACAGATCTAACGTCACCTTCAGGCCTGACAAACGGACGCTTATCCATGTCGGTTGGGCGAACGATGGGGGGTGTAACGACAGCCCAAGGCCACGAATCTCGATCTGGACGCCATCTCTCGGGGCGTATGCGATGCGACGAAGGGAAAAGTAACCAATGCGCTGAATGGAGATACCCGTTGCGATCCGGACGATGGCGAAGACGAAAAAGGAGGAGAGGTAGAGCAGGAGGAATCCGACGAGAATCGTAGTCGGATTGAAGAGGGCAATCATCATGCCTCACGCGATCAGTAAAGGGGGGTGGAAGCTATACTGATCTATCGAATCCGGGAAGGACGAACGAAGCGCGCGAAAGAGGACAGATCATCGAGGTCGTCACGGTCGGTATGGTCTTCACAGGAGTCAATTCAGTATTTCGTGATAAATTCTGACAGTAAAAAAGGATTTTACACGTCGCCTGGAAAAAGTCGCCCCCCTCTTCACAAAAGAGGGCCTTTTCCAGGGACAACCGGGAGTGGGCGGAGATGGACGGAGATGGTGGGCGGGTTATAATTAGGGATTAGTTAGGACCGGACGTGCGCACCGGCCTGGGGAGTGACGACGCTGATGACGGGGACAAGAAAGGAGCGTGGCAGGAGGACGACGGACATGGCTGTTTGAGAATATGAAGGTCAGCAATCATCCATATAGCATAGAGGGAGGTAGAGTAGGATCGGGATCCAGGCAAAGCCACTGATAGACAGCCGATCCGACGGGACGAACCATAGATCTGGCATGTCAAGTGAGAGACGTCAATTGAATAGATTATTCTAGAATATAAAAGGAGACAAAGAAGGAAGAGAGAAAAGAAGAAGACCAGGGAGAACAAGAAGAGAGAGAGAGGAAGATCGGAGGTTGAGGGAGAGATGAGGCTCTTTACCCAAAATGGAAGTCCAGGGAGACTCTTGGCGCTATGGACCAATAGAAGGCGGTAGAATAGATGTACAGAGTATAATTATGCAAGTGATGGAGAAAATCGATCAGTTCGATAGTACGTATATAGTTACCAGTAGACTGAGTACATATCATGCAAAGGATTCTATACATCCTTCAATATAAATCTGCACTCCATACATATGTCTCCTATCACCATCCTTATGTACTGCTATGTACAAGTACTTGTACTGCATATCTCTTGCATCACCTCCCGGAGCCGGTCCAACATTTTCTCCGACTCCTCTTTCCGGAGCATCACGTTGGATGATTTCAACGCCAGCACAATCTTCGTTGGTCTGGGATACACAATTAGATACAATGTCTTGAACGGCGGGATCTTAAAGTACATATGGGGCAGTTTTCGACAGTGCAGCCGGCCAATTTGTCGCTCCGGTTCGGGGATGAAGTTCTGGAATTTGACCACCGAACCAGGGAGATCGACAGTAGGATCTCCCGGCCTTTGGCTGAACATGTCCCTCCAGCCAATAGTCTCAAAATCGATGCATTCCGCGTGCTGAGACTGGATGGTCCGAAGCAGATCGTACATGGAGCTTGATAACATGCTCCGCGGGACCCGCACCGGGATCACATTGAAACATGGACCGACTATGTCATCGATTCCGGGCAATGACAGGTTGCGGGTGTTGACAAACTGACCAAAGACGAGATCATCTGTGGTCCCAGTGTACTCCTGCAGGACAATTGCCCAGGCAGCTTTGATCACGGTGGCCACGGTTATCCCAGCCGGGGGTGTGAGGAGAGGTATATCCACTTCAAAGGCCGTTCGTTGCTCGTCTGGTACTGGCACCTCTCGGACCGGGGCTGGTGTAATCTTCGACCCTTTGAGAAGGTCTTGCCAGAAGTGGTATGCGGCGGGTTTCCTCTGCCGAGAACACTCACGGGCGTAATCGGAGTAATCCGATACAACGTGGATGTCCTGGCCGTCGTAAGCAGCCCAGAGGTCAGAAAGTAACCTTGGAAGACAGACCGCGTCGTACTGGGCATGGAGGATCCGGAAATGCAAGATAGAATGCTCTGGTGCGTCTTGGACCAACTTAAACTCCAGTCTAGGCTTATCCGCGCGATACGGCTGCTGCAGATCAGCCTCGCGGTATGCCAGAGCACAGCTCAACGCGTCCTGATCCGTCGAAGTTTGGACAGAAAAGACGACGTCCACATGGCGCAGAACAACCTGGAGCATTGTGTCGCGGAATGGGACAAATACAGAACGCAAAATGGTATGGTTCGTAACAAGGGCTTGGCACGCGCGATGGAGCCGATCTGCGTCAACAGAGCCTGTTAATTCAAACAGATGATAGTCAAGTTCGGGCCAGGCCGCCATGTATTCCTGCTCATCATGTGTCGGGAGAACGTCCTCAATATCTGCAGCATCCAAGGACGCCGGGAGATTGGCGAGAAGGTCGGTTTGTATGTCTTCGAATGGGTCCATAGCCACATCGTCGAATACCGGGGCTGCGCTGTCACAGCAGCTCTGATGGCACAACGCAAGCGTGGACAGATATGGCTGCCGGAGCACATCAGCCACGGTAATGTACAAGCCGCTCTTACGGACTTGCGTCACTAAATGGCGGGCAAGGATTGAGTTGCCTCCAAGGTCCAAGAAGTTGGCCTGCATCCCAATGGTGTTAGGCGGGAGACCAAGCACCTCAGCGCAGACTCGTTGGAGGAATATCTCCTGTTCCGTGATAGGATCTTGGTGGGCAGCCTCGTTAGAAGTGTACGCGAGGAGATCTTTACGGCATAGCTTCGATGCTTTCTCGCGCAGCAATCGTCGATGCAGCTTGCCAGTAGGCGTCCGTGGAAGAGCGGTAGTTGTAACGATGGCTGATGGGACCATAAAGCTGGGAAGAACTTTGCTGAGGTTCAACAAGGTGGTTTGTGCCTTTTGGCGGAATTCTTTGCTAGGAGGGACGAAAAGGTTTTCGACTCGGTTGTGGTATTGCAGTGATGGTCCAGGTTTTTCAACAGGCACAAAGGCAACCAGCATGGGATCGCGCTGCGAGTCGTCAGATGGTACAACCACCTCTACCACCACTGGCTCTTTGACATCGTCGAATTGTGCATGCAATTGGTATTCAATCTCAGAAAGCTCAACACGTTGGCCTCGGATCTTAATCCGTGTTCCCTTACGGCCAAGCAGGTGTAGTGCGCCGTCTTTTGGATTGTATCTGACAAGATCACCAGTCCTCAGGAACCGACCACGACCATCCGGACGGACCTGTTTCAGCCAAGCGGTGTCCTCCAAAAATATCATACGATTTTGCTCCTCGTTATCTATGTACCCCTTGCTCACACAGGGCCCTTCGAAGAGCATCTCCCCTTCAGCGCCAATGGGCATGAGAATGTTTGGATCGTGACGACTGACAACCCAAGGCGTGGCGCAAAATGGTCGGTTGAATCTGCAACTATCGCAGCTGGAGTCATTGCGACTGGCAAACATACCACCTTTGGAATTCTCGGACAATCCGTATAGTGAAAGGAGGGAGACGCCACTTCGTTGCCATTTTGTTAGCTCGGCTGTATCCATAGGTTCACCCACGGTGATCAAGGTCTGCAGTCCAGGGATATCTGCGGGTTCCAGAAGATGAAGAACAGATGGCGTCAGCTTGGCCCAGTTCGCATTGAGCTCACGGATTGCGCCGGCCAGATCGTTCTGCAACTGGTCCTCAGACGGTAGGCAGACACAGGCGCCCTGGGTAAGAGGAGCGATCTGGTCTGTAAGGCTGATAATAAATGCATGAGAGGCGAATTGGAACACGCGCGATTGAGATGTCAAACCGGATTGTTCGCAATAAGCATCGAGGCCGCTGCAAAACGCCGTGTGATCCATCACAAACCCCTTTGGCTCGCCTGTGGAGCCGGACGTGAATCCAGCATATAGACTGTTGTGAGGTCGGACTATCTCGGTTTGTGAATAGGCTGTGGTGGAAGTCTCATCCTGCTCTTGAATGCCGGGCACCATCAAAACCGGGACATCGAGCCCTCCCGCAACTGCAGCATGGTTTGGGGATACCAACAGCACCCGCGGTTGAGCCTTGCGGCGCATCAGGGCCAGACGCTGCACTGGCTGCGAGGCATCCATCAACGTCAACGCTCCCCCGGCCTTCATCACAGCCAAGATCGCGACGGTCGTCCACATAGACTTCTCCATGAGCAGGCCGACAAATCGATCCGGCCCGACTCCGGCTTCAACCAACTGATTGGCTAACCTGGATGCTTGTGCATCCAACTCGGCGTACGTGAGCGTGCCATCCCAAGCACAGACTGCGGGGGCGGATGGTTGTTCTTCACAGCGTTGCTCAATGAGACGGTGGCAGAGTGTCTCATTGCGTTGAGCCGCTGTTGCTGTGTTCCAGTGGAGAATCTTTTCGAGTCCTTCGGGACTTGTCGCTTGGAGCTCAGCGAGAGCAACCTTGGGGTTCTGTATGATGCGGGTAAAGGCGTGGCGCAGTTGAAACAACATCATTTGCACTGTCTCTCGTACAAGGAGCATGCTATCGAATATGGCTTGGATCTGGACTCCCTCTTTTCGAATTCGACAGACTATTGCGAGGGGGTATGAAATCCCGCTCTCGTCAAGGCTTTCATCGCCATCATCTCGAATAACCAAAACATTCTGGAACCCATCCAGTGTCTTGTCGGACTCGCTGATAACGTCTTCCGCCTGGTTCAATGCCGCTATAACTGGTCCCTCACGTTGCAGTCTCAAAGGACATGACCGCACAGCTGATTGCGGCGGCGCCAGACCAAACAGAACATCGTCTGAATCTGTATAACTGGCCAACACCGTTCCCCAGGCCGCCGTTAAACTCGGAACAACGTTGATCACACTACCATCCTTGTGATCTGCGATTATCAGGTCGATCCTCTCTGTCGTCGAAACTTTGTAGCCATCATGCGGCATTCTTGGAAACGTTGACGGCTCGAAATCTTTCAAATCGAACATTGTTCGCTATGCTTCGTCTTCCCTTTCCGTTTCGATAAACGTCAGTCTTTTCTGGCGTACAGAGAGTATTTGTACTTGTACATGCGGATACCACGTTTGCTTCCAGTTTCAAGGCATGATCCTTGTATGTTCTGACGCCGACGTATTACAGAGCTGTCCGATACGTCAATGCCGACGCGCCAGAATTGGAGTTTGACAAGGTTCTGCCCGGTTGCTCCTCAGAGTATCACCACTACTGTAGGTCCTCGTAATAGTAGTATGTCTCTGTGTAATCCACGGTGCATCCTGTCTGCAAGAATACGTAAAATTACGCGGTGACATCCCAGCATACTAGTACCCTGTGTACTTGCAGATGTTCTCCCAGATACGCCATAGATGATTGCTATTCCACTGAGTACGGAGTACATTATACGTTGTACTATCCTTCAAGTAAGACGTGCTAAGAAAGAGGGCGAGTCTAGTAGACTCTGGCATAGCAACGACAGAATATTCATATTGGGCAGTCGCATACTCTAAGCACTAAAGGATAACTATATCTAGCAGACTCAACTATACGGGCTAGTCCCCCAATTCACACAAACAAAACCATCAGATATTAGCATCCCTCCGCCCAGTAAGAATCCGATCATTCGCCGTCTCACCCCTCAAAATCCCAAACTTAGCCTTAATCCAATTCTCACTCGTCAAAACACCCTCTTCCCCAGCCACCGGCAAACCCGACGATCCAAGCAAGGGGACCATCGGCGCCTGGTTCTCCGGGCGCATCAAGAAAGCAAAACTATACCGCTCATTCATACCCTTTCCAGGCAGCGAAGCCACCCGGTGCAAGACACTGCGGAACAGTCCACCGGTCCAGAGACTCATCGCGTCTCCGAGATTAACCACAGCGTGGTTCTGCTTGGGCATGATGTATAGCCAGTCGTCGCATCCATCTGGCTTGATTTGTAGGCCCGGGGAATCGGCGAAGAGCATGGTCAGAGAACCCAGATCGGTGTGCGGTGTCTGGGGGACGCGGAACTCCGAGTCTCCTTCGCTGGAGGGGGCGTATTTGAGTAGACGGAGGATATCCGGGGCTGGGGCGTCGGGTCTGTGGAATGTGTCGAAGGAGTGCAAGTCGGGGAGATCGAGGGAGTCGGATAGGGAGCCGAAGATGTACTGCGCGATTTCGAGGCAAGTGATGGTGAAGTGGCGGAGGAGAGGCATGTTGGTGTCTAGGACTGGGGGGTGGGGGAATGGGTTGGATGCTAGGATTCCGTTTCGGGGGATCTGTAGCGTCGTTAGCTGACGGAACGAATATAGAACAAGATTGGACGAACAGCATAGCTCTCAAATCCATCACGCTCGCCCTTGATACCCCCGATGTTACGCCTGATGGGCTTGTATCTGGAATCACATTAGCAGCAATAACAGGTAATGTACTGAGAGAGGAACGGACCCGTTGAGCTTCAACTCTCCGATCTTGTCAACATCATATCGCAACTTCTCCTCCAAGTCGAGATTGAACAAAGACCGGCTCAAGCTATAGATATCCTCAGTCAAATTGGCAAGGTCAAATTCATTCTGGTCCTCGCTGAAATCTAGATAGAAGATGCCGTCCTCTGTGGCAGCAGCATAGAGCTTCTCTTTTTCTTCGGGGGAGCCTCTGCAGAGATCGTGAAGACGGATTGTCTTGAGAGGGGCAAAGAGCGAAGGTGCAACATCGAGCTTCATTGTGAACGTTCCACTGAAAAGATAGATTTAGAGATAATAGATTTAGTCCGAATGAGAAGATATATAGCCCTATATAGTAGTTTGTCGTGTGATACCGCTGATACCCTAAGGATAGATTGTTGCATCCCAATATTGCAGATGAAACTACAATCATCAATGCTTTTTTCGGTCTTACCTCCATTTCCCTAGCATATTGGAATGGGGAAGGAATATGAATATTGCTACGCCCTTATCTCGGGTATATGCATGGCGAATTGTAGCCCTGACCGGTGCTGAAATTACAAGGGGTATACAGAGTACGTAGTTGTACATGCAACCTATAGTTCTAAAACAAAAAGTCTACGTAATGCAACTACGAAAATATATATAATCGCCAAAACATTTCTTTTCCCCATAAAACAACCAAACATCAATATTTTTACTAGATAA